ATGTGGTCTGATGTGCAAGTGGTCACCTCGGGGCAGTGGCAGGAGCCCAAGCACGCAACCTCGGGCAATCTCGGGTATTCTCGGGCGCCTCCCACTGCCCCGACCACATCACGACGTTGCACGGGTACTCTCGGGCAATCTGGGCACTCTCGGGCACTCTCGGGCGCTCTCGGGCGCTCTCGGGCACTCTCGGGAGCCTGTCGCGCTTGAGACGGACGAGAAGGCAGGAAGAGACTGCAGTGAGACGGAACTGAGACGGAGTGTCGAGTGATGGATCTATTGAGACACAAAACAACTGCTAAAAATCTCTCTCTTGAGACACCGCTGAGACGGCAGGAAGGAGAGACGGAAGTGAGACGGAAGTGAGACGGAGTGATGGATCTATTGAGACACCGCTGAGAGGTGAGAGTGAGACAGGGACGAATTCACGTGAGACTGAGACGAATCAACGTGACGCCCTGCTCGAGTATGCACAAAAATAAAAGGCCTGGAGGAGCGGTGGTGCTATGCTGCCGCTCTCGCTGCTGCGAACCGCGACGGGCAACCCGATGGTGCGCTCGCGCGCCTCGCGCCGCGCCCAGCCACTGCAAACTCACCCGCCCCTGCTCGCGCGCGCGCCAGCTCGTCGAGCTCAAAAACGGCGAGACCTTCAACGGCACGCTGGACTCGTGCGACAACTGGATGAACATCAAATTGAAAGAGGTCATCTGCACCTCTCGCGACGGCGACCGCTTCTGGCGCTTGCCGGAGGTGGTGATCCGCGGAAACAACATCAAGTGAACAGCCGCGCCGGCAGCGCTGCTGCGCCGCCCGGCCTCACGCGGAATGCGCGCCCGCCGTCAGGTACTTGCGGATCCCCGAGGAGGTGATCGACATGGTCCCCGAGGAGGACCTCTCGATGGCAGGCAAGGGCAAGGGCGGCAAGGGCGGCAAGGGCGACGGCCGCGGCCGGGGGGGCAAGGGCAAGGGCGACGGCAAGGGGCGCGGCGGTGGCGGTCGCGGAGCTGGGAGGGCGTCAGGCAGGGGCATGGGGCGCGGTTAATTTAGCGTTTGCACACGCATGTCGTTTACGTTTTTATACGTGTATCATCGCCGAGACATAAGGTAGAAAAGGCGGTGCGCGCGTTTTTTGTCGATTTTGAGAGAGCCGAACCCACACCCCACAGGCACGCACAGGTGGCCCTAGGGTTGCAACCCCAAAGCCCAATACGTAGGCCTAGCCCACCGCACGCGGAGAGGGGCGCGCGGCCGAGAGAGACACCGCACACGCCGAGACTCACACCGCACTCCGTCAGAACTGCAAGAGCGATGGCGCGAATCTCTTGGAGCGGCCGTCACATATTCGCCGCGGCCGCCTTGAGCATCTCGATCTGCTGCCGCTCCACGGGTGTGAGCGCCCCCAGCTGCTCCGGCGTCAGCCCCCGCACCTGCTCGAGCAGCATGCGCTGGTGCGGGTCGAGCCCGCCGCCCGCCGGCCGCGGCGGAGCGGCGTGCGGCGTGCCGTAGGCGTGCGGCGTGCCGTACGCCTGCCCCCACCCCGGCGGCGGCGGCGGCGCGCCTACGGCCGCATGCGAGTCCGCGTCTCACGAGCCGGCCAGCCGCGCCGCAGCCGCGGCGGGCGTCTCCGCCGTAGCCGCCGCCGTAGCCGCCGCCGTAGCCGCCGCCTGGCGGAGCGCCGCGCGGCGGCGGGCCGCGCGGAGCGCCGTAGCCGTACCCGCCGTACGAGGGCGGCGGATGGTCGGCCAGCAGCCTCTGCGGCGGCGGCGGCGGCGGCGGGCCTCTGCCGGGAGGCGGCCGGTGGATGTGGGCGCGCTGGTCGTACGGACCGAGGCTGGGTGGCCGGTGGTCGAGCGAGCGGTAGTCGGCGCTGAGCGGCGTGTACAGCCGGTCGAGCGCGCGGCGCAGCGCTCCGTACAGCTGCGGCTGCGACTGCAGCAGCAGGCGGGCCTGCTGCGGCTGAGCGGCGAGGAAGGCTCGCGACTGCTGCACGAGCACGGCAAGCTGCTCGCGGCTCGCGTTTCCAATCACCTGGCCGAGCGGGTCGCTGCCTCCCGCGCCCAGCTGCCCGCCGGACGCCTGCCGCCCAACGCCGAGCTTTGCACGCTTTGCGCCGCGGCCAGCGCCGGCAGCGCCGGCGCCGCTCGAGTCGCGCGTGTCCTGCTCGGCGATGCCAAGGCGGAGCGTCCGCCCGCCGAAGTCGACGTCGGCCAGCTGCTCCACTGCGGCGACCGCTGTCGCGTTGTCCACATACTCCACAAACGCAAACCCCTTGCGCTTCTGGGTGGCGTGGTCGACGACGATGCGCAGCTTGACGACCGGGCCGACCTGGGCAAATAGGGCGCGGAGCTCGGGGTCGTCCGCCGTGCCCTCCATGGGGATGTTGCCCACGAACACCGTGCGGAGCCGGTTGCTGCCATGCGGTGCTGACATGCTCTCAGGCTCTCAGACAGCCGGTTGCTGCCATGCAGCTGTGTCGGTCGAGGGAGGGACCCTCAATTTCTTTTTCAATGGGCTGTCAGTATGGCAAACACCAGCAGGACTCCAAGGGCAGAGGACTTCGGCACGCGTTGGGCGCCCCATTCCGTTTAGTCTCATCATCAGCGAGCGGGTCAATGAGATTTTTAAAGACCAACAAGAAATCACGACTCGCACATTTCTTCTTGTTTCTTTCAGTCAGTCAGCGCAGGGCCCCGTCCATCCACTTCCGCCCCACTTGGCGCCATGGCGCAAATGCCGGCCAGGCCGGCCGGGACAAGGGGGAGCGAGGGTGGAGGGCGGAATGGGCGCCAAGCAGGGAGGGGGAGGAAGAACAAAGTAAAAAAGAAAACCACCAGAGACCTCAACTCGAAGCCGAGAGAGAGAGAATTCTTGATACGAAACCACGACGACACACACCAGTCGACTCGCATCGGTTGCCTCCATGAACGGCGGAGCTATTCTCGCGCCCACACCACACCTGGCTCCAACGTGGACACGCCCATAGCTGGGGACACTACTAGGTCACGCATGGCATCACAGAAGTTTTATCTCTGGGCCCCGAAAGGCATCTCTAGCAGTGTCGTTACACATGCCCCCTCCCCTCCTGGGCGCATGCGCCTCACGTCTCGCCAGAGCATAAGCCCTTGGCGTGTGGCGAGACGAGTTTTTCGCCATCGCAGCGAGCAGCAACCCGCCCGCCGCAAACAGCCGGAGGCCTCGCCGCGGCACTGGCTGCGCCGCGGTCCCGCACCCGTCGACGCAGCTCCCCCCGCGGAAGACCGCGCGTAGCAACGTCTTGACGATCGAGATGAGCGTGCCTGAAGCTCGCCCACCTACTGCCCCTGAGAGTTGGTTATTGAGTGGGATCAGCTCCCCCCCTTGGGATCGAAGCCGCCACAACCTCACACCCAACATCCCAGGCGGGATCAGAAGGGGACTCCACACCGGACACCGCCCGGGCACAGCCCCCCTACCCGTCGGATCGCACAGAGGGCCCCCTCGGAGCAGCCCACACACAATCACGCATCGGCAGATTGAGTGCCTGAGTCAGGCAGACAGCACAGACAAGAGGAGAGAGGAGAGAGAGAGAGAGAGAGAGAGGAGAGAGGAGAGGGTGAGGGTGTGAACACACGTGAGGAGTGGGGGAGGGTGTCTGTGGTGGGCTGTAGTCCTACTACGTGGTTACAACCACGCGCCCCTCAGGAGCTTAAGGTAGAGCTGAGCGTCCAAGACGCCTCGGTGCCACCCACCGGCGTGAAGACCATCCGGATCTACCCAGTGCGTCCTCCGGACGGGCTGGTCCCCGCGATGGCCCACGGTCCTCCGTCGCCTGGTTGAACCCCCTGCCTCCCGGTTGACCCCCCGGTCCCCGTACTCGACCATGAAATAAACTCAAAGTCCACCACAGCCACCAGCCTCCACCTCCACCCGCGAGCCGCCACCGCTGCCGCCCGCGACGCCGCCCGCCGCGTCAGATAGCCGCGACGCGCGCATCGAGTCGCGTCGGAGAGCCGCGCCGCACCAGCAGCAGCACCTGCACCAGCAGCAGCAGCAGCAGCACCACCACCACCACCCGAGAGAGAAGCGCACCTGCCCGACGCCGCCCGCCGCGTCAGACGCTCGCGACGCGCGCGTCGAGCCCAGTCGCACAGCCGCGCCGCGCCAGCAGCAGCATCGGCACCAGCAGCAGCAGCACCACCACCACCAGCAGCAACAGAGACAGGCAGTGCAGGCGCAGAGGCGCTCGCAGAGCGGCGCTCAGCGCCGCGCACGCCACGCCGCGGACCGTCGGACGAGCGCACCGTACGTCGGCGGCGAGCCGCGTCGCCAGCCGTCTCGCGAGAGAGCGGCGCCGCCGCGTGCGCGCAGCAGCCGCCGCGGCAGAGGCGAGCCGCGGCGACGTCCGCACTAACGGATAACGGCCATTGGCGGTTTTTTCTCTCTCTCTCTCTCTCTCGAAGCCGAGCAGTTGAGACGCCGTGGGCGACGAGCAGTTGAGACTTTTCCTCTCCATTCATGGCCTTCATGCCTCCCACGCCTCCTCTCTGGAACCCGGACGAGTCGGGTACGTACGGCGGCGACTCGGTCGCCGAGCTGGATCTCGGAACCGTGCTAGCGCTGCTCGCGTGCGGCGTCGGGGTCTCGCTCTGCTGCATCTCCTGCTGGACGAACCGGGACCCGCTGCTGGACGAGCTCGCGATCCAGCTTGAGCCCAGGCTGCTGACCCGCGGCGCGCCTGCGTCCGAGGACGCCTTGCCCCGGCCCGCGGCCCCACGGAGGCGACGAGACTCTCCACGCAAGAAACTGCGGGACCGGTGTGCGCCGCGCCCACCACGGCCCACGCCGCTGGCCCGTCGCCGCCGCCTCGGCCGCTATCATCCCGCCGCCCCCGCCGCCCCCGTCAGGTACGACGCCGAGGAGAGCGGGCAGGGCGCCCACAACGACGACGACTCGACCGGGAGCGAGACGAGCAGCGAGAGCCTGGCCGCGGGCCAGACCTTCAGGGCGGGCCCGCCGGGCAGGAGGCGAGCCAGGGCGGGCGGGCGGCGCGCGGGGCGGCGGCCGCGCGGGGGCGGGGGCGAGAGCGAGAGCGAGGAGGAGGACAGCGACGACGACGACGAGGCGGACGGGGAGGAGAGCTCCGACGCAGACGACGACGTCGAGGCGAGCAGCAGTCATGGCAGCAGGGCGAGCGGCTGCTCCTCCCTCTCCGACCACCTGACCGCGGTCCTGCAGAGCCAGCGGAGCGGCGGGGCGGGGGGGTCGGCGCGCGGCGCGCGCGCGAGGCGAGGCCGCCGCCGTCCTCCTGCGAACACGCGCGCGCTGCTCGCCGCAGCATTTGAAGACGACGACGACGCGCCGCCGCCTCCTCCACCGCCTCAGTCGTCGCTCGAGCTGGCCTCCGTGGTTCCGCCGGACTCCGGGGCTGCGGAAGAGGCGGCGACCTCGCCGCCCGAGACCGACCCGGTGGCCAAGGCTAGGTCGGTCCAGGCCTCCCCCGAGACGACCCGGGTGTGGGCGGAGCGCGCCGCCGCGGCGGAGGCGGCGGCGCGGCAGGAGCTCGAGCGGGAGAGGGAGGAGCGGGCGGCGGCGGAGCGGCAGGAGCTCGAGGAGAGGCTGGCGCAGGCGACGGCGCGGCTCGACAAGGCGAAGGAGGCCCTGAGCGGACGCCACTCGCTCGGCGGCCGATCGGCGGACGCGAAGGTCGGGGGCAGCCGCGACTACACGTCTGTCGACGTGGAGGCGGTGCGGGACGGGACGTAGCGCGGCGGCTCCTTGCGGTGCAGCCGCACGAATGATTTGCGGCAGCGTCCGCCACACGCGGGTGGGCAGGGAGGGGTATTACCTTTAAGTGCGAGCCGGGGGGCCGTCTTCACTCCGTGCGCGGTTATGGACTGTGGAAGTGTGGTGTGTCTAAACCCTCCCCCCCCCCCGACGCGTCCACCCAACGTCCCAAGCGGCTGGGGCCGCGGGGCTGTGCCTGTGCAGAGTGCTTTTGTGTTTGCACCGTTTCGCCTGTAGCCGTACCCATGGGCATGGCGCATGGGGGACCCCTACGGCTCTAGGCCTGGAGCTGGACGCTGGAGCTGCAGCTGGACGGCTTTAGCGCTAGCCCTAAACTAAGTATACTATAATATGAGAGTTAACAGTTATGAGCCGTATAGGCGTAGCATTCATGACAGTGCTCAGACCGGAGTGGCAAGGCTAGAGGGTTTACCGGCATCTAGGTGCTTTTCACATCTGCAGATAGTGCAAAAACGGTGCCATACATATAGGTGTAACGTATATGGTTGCTCTTTTCCGCGAATTTTTACAAGCAGATATCTGGGCAGATCTGGTTTCGGTACTTTATCTGGGGTCCTGCCGTTGTCCCTTTATCCGACCGGCCGGAGTTTCGGAGTATGTAGCTCTTACGAACATACCCGTAGCGCGTAGGTGAACTGCTGACAGGGTTTGCGATGAGGAGCGATCCGAACGTGGTATTCGGGTGATCAGATCCTTTTTGCGGGTGGTGAAGAAGAAATCTTCCGGGTGGTGAAAGGCCCGAAAAATATTCTTCACGCAGCATTCACACAGCTCAACTTTACCGGCATCAAGAAGGAGGTCGCGCCCGCCGATTCGACCCCGGTGCTCGATGAGCAGTACCTCGCGGAGTCCGAGGAGTCGGCTCGAGCTCGACGTGCTCGCGTGGTGGAAAAGGCCAAGGAGACAAAGTGGCCGGCGCTTGCCAAGATGGTCAAGCAGTACTTCGCCGCACCGGCCTCCTCCGCGGGCGTCGAGCGCGTCTTCTCGGCCGCGGGCAAGATGCACGGCGACCTCCAGAAGTCGGCCAAGGACACCACGCTCGAGCACTCACTCTTCGCGGCGTTCAACACCGAGTAGTGAGTCGACTGGTGCGCGGCTTGAACGGCAGCGCGGGTGAGAGGCAGCGCGGGAGCGCGCCTCGACCCTCCGGCCCTCGCGCCCTGCCGCGCCCGCGGTGTGTCGCGGCCGCTGTCCGCCGTGCCGCTGTCGGAGTGTGGGTGTGTCTTGGTGCGTGTCTGGACGGTCGGTATCTGCTTGGTATCTGGGTGTGACGCGCTCTTTTACATGGCTGGTAGATACAGATAGTGGCTCTGAGCCTTCAGATATCTGGCAGATACCCAGATATCTAGGTATCTGGTTCATCTAAACCCTAAGCCTTGCTCAGTGGTCAGTCAGTGCAGTCACGAGTCAGCACACCCGCCCAGGCGCGCAGCCCCAGGCCCAGCGCAGTACCCCCTCTCCACACTCCAGAGTCCAGAGAGCGCAGTCCGCAGAGGTCCTCCAGGGAGCGTACGTCCCAAGACCAAGCAAGGCTACGGACTAGGGTGGTGGGGGTGTGATGTGTGAACAGATCCTGATATCTGGGTAACAGGCACTATCTGCCACTCTCAGAGCAACTAACAAGTAACTAAGAGGTCTCTAAATGACACACCATGGATCAGATCTCCAGAGATATATTGAGATCTGAGGGAGGGTGTAGAGGATGCAGAGTGTAGAGCGCTGTAGAGCTGTAGAGCTGTAGAGATGTAGAGCGCTCTGGAGCGCTGTAGAGCTGTAGAGCTCTACATCCGCCGCGTGACGATGCGGGTGCGTTGTAGAGCGATGTAGAGGCGCTCTACAACGTGAAATCTCTACAACAAACTCTACATCATAAGCGGCGAACGAGGCACGCACGGTCTCTCTCCGACATGAGGCGCGTTGCACTCGCCAGTGCTGCCCTGGCCTTCTGTCTGCCCGCCCAATGGGTGGCAGGTGCCTCTGCTGCTGTGGCGTGCCTCACGGCTGCGACTGGCCGGCGCCTCGGCGCGTCAGCTCGGCTCGGCGTAGCGATAGTGGCCAGCGCAACTCGCCTGGACTCAACGCTCAGCCAGGAGCTCCCGCACGCGCTGGCGCGAGTCATGGCGCATGCAACGCTCAACAATGATCGCCTCGCCTCGCGCAAATGCGACCGTCCTCGCAGCCGACAGTCCACCGCCTGCTAAAGAAGCACTGCGACGAATGCGGCACCGGCGACGCATGGCAGGCTGGTCATGACGCAGTTATAGGGTGTTGGTGTGCCGTCAGAGTGACTCTCTGTGTGTCAGGGGTAGTCAGGGCCGTCCATCTGAGCTCCAGTAAGCTCGGAGACTGTACACCCCATTAGTGCGACTCGACCTCTTTGAGTCACTGCCTTCCCGGCGGGTTGGCTGTAGAGCCTCTACAACAAACTCTACAGCAAAATCGCGCTCTACATCGCTCTATCTAGCCTCTACAACGCACCCGCCTCGTCACGCGGCGGATGTAGAGCTCTACAGCTCTACAGCGCTCTACACTCTACATCCTCTACACCCTCCCTCAGATTGAGATCGTTGATATAGCGTGTGGCCAGCAAAGAAAACGCAATCGCGGCGTAACGACAACGTCTGTCTGCGCACGACCGGTGCCGGTGTCCGAAGGCGGTCCGCGTAGATGGCAGCCTTGCATGCAACCTATCGCTCTCCCAATAAGGCTGTCTCGTCAACAGGTATACGGAGAGAGCAGCATCTGCCATCCAGGCCGCTCAGTGCCGACATTGGTGCACGGCGTGGCCGACAAGCGCTCGCAACGGCGGCCAGGCAAAGGGACTCAAGCCTATACCAAAGGCTGCACCGCATTGTGCTTGCCCTCCAGCTCTTACAGACACCAGCCGCCAGTAGCGGCGCGCATTCATTCCGCGGGCTCTTGACGCAGCTGGAAAGGCTGGAGGTTGAAGCACGCGGTGGCAGTCAGAGCCGCTCAATGTCCACCGCCCTGTGGCTCCTCCAGCGCTCTGTGCCGCCAAGCGTTTCAGCGCCAATGGGTAGTGACGACTTCAACCAGGCCCTCGGTGTACTCATCTGGCTACTCACCCATTTTGACGGCCCACAGGAGCAGGCTACAGTCGCAGAACCGGTCGTTCTGTGCCCAAGTCGAGCCATGGCACACGAGGCCGACGACGGCACACCACTGGGCTCGCCGGCGCCCCTCGCGAGGACCCCAAATCCAGCGCCGGCGCCCAAATCCAGGACCCTCAAGCACTGGGAGCCTCCTGCCAGATGGCCAACTGGTACTTCAATGAGCGACGGGACGAGTCTTCCCGTCACGTCGCCTCTACTCGGCAGCACCGCGGTACTCGGCAGCTCTCTTCCGGCTTCCACAGCCCCGCTTCTACTCGCCGAGCCCGGGGTGGCGAAGAGCGAGCCTCAGCGGTTAGACCGAAGCTTCCAGTTTGGCGAGGTGGTCGTCGATGCGCCGCCTACCACCAATCAGCCGCTTCGACTGCGAACTCACACGCCGACCACTGAGCTACACCTACAGCAAATACCGATTTCCTCGATTTCCTCTCACGGAGAACCTTTCAAGGTGCTCGCTGGAAAGCGCACTACCAAGCTGGCTGAAAACTCGGCCGTGATCGACCCACGCACTCTCGAAGAAGAAGGGAGAGCGGCGTGCTTGGAGGCGCAGGAGCGTGCGCTCGCGAGAGAGAGGCGACTAGCAGCCAGGATGCAAGAGCCTGCTCCCACCCCGCTGCGCTCAAGGTGCCACGAGGACGAGGCGCTCGCGAACGACACACTGCAGCGGCGCCTCGCCATCGATGAACGCGCCTGGCGAGAGGAAGAGGCACAGTCGCGACGTGCGGAGGCCGATGCGGTCCTGCTACGCGAAAAGGGTCTCTGCCTTGCCCAGAGCGCGCGCCTTGGGCTCTCCACCTCGGTCGACGCTGCAGCTGGCTGCACGGCAGTGATGGGTACAGAGGAAACGCTCGCCTGCCCACAGCCGCTCCTTTGCGCCACCACCGAGATGAGGTCGCTCATCAACGACCTCCACTCCAGCTTCAGTCTCTTTTGCACCTCGCCGAGCATTGCGGATGATCCCCTCTCCGTTGTCTCGGGCCAGATCAGGGGAGGAGGAGCGGTGTCGAGCTCAGACGTCGAGCTTGCTCTCGAGGCCTTCGGTCAGCACTATCTATCCCTGGCCGGCCGAGAAGCGCTCTCGAAAATATGGACCGCAGGGCAGGTCTGCTTTGCGGATTACGCGCAGACCATGCTGCGGCTTATGGCTGGGTTTGGGCCGGGCAGCCTCGCGTTGACCGAGAATGAGGCACTTGCAGCGCTCTACGTTGCGTTCCGCCTCTTTGATTACTCGGGCAGCGGCGTTGTTGGCATGGCGGACATTGAGCTCGTCTTGCAGGCGCTTTCCTGCCACCTCGAGTCGCATGAGGTGAGTGAGCTGCTTGGGCACCTGCAGCAAAGCGGACACGACCCAAGCTCTGAGCTCCCGTTCCATTGCTTTCTCTCCCTCTTCATGCCTACGATTCGTGCGGGAACGGAGTTGGCGGGCAGAGCTGACTCGGAAGCAGCGGCAAGCGAGACAGACAGGCACCAGCCGAGTGAACTCGTCCTTCTCGGTGGCGGAGGCACCCACTTTGCAGGCGGTGGCGCTGCGGGAGCCCGTGCGCAACGGGTAGCGGCAGGCGAGAGTATCGCGCGGTCCGGGACTCTGGTCTCTCACTCCCTCCACTGTCCCTAGCCCTACGTCACCTCTACACACGTGGAGCACCCCCACACGGCTCACGCCTCACGGGGGGGGCCCCCATGAGCCATGTGCCAAGTGTGCGTCATCCGCGTTTCATGGTCCGTCATCCGGCGCGTGTGGATGTGTGCTTGACGTGACGTCTCGCGCCATTTTTCTCACACTGGCCTCACGCCTCAGCAACACTGCGAACACACAGCTTAGGCACAGGAGCGACAGCAGTCACGAGACATGCACAAAGCGGGGCCGAAGCGCCGGGGTTGTCTCGTCTTCCTCGAGCCACAGGCGCCCACATGGTCCGGCGGCGGAAGGAGCACAGGGGCGGGGACGCGGTCGGTCTCAGCGCTGCGACATCACCATGTGCTTCTTGTAGACGGACATGAAGCGGGCGAGGAAGGCCTCGAGGTGGAAGACCGCCTTCTGGCCCGCCTGGAGCCGGTGCTCGTAGATTGCGGCGTGGTGTAGCGCCTCGTGCTGGACCGGCTTGGGGCAGCGCTTGAGCAAGGCGATGGTGAGCTGCTGGAAGATGAGGTCGGGCGGGATGCACGAGCTGATGAGCTCGTACAGCCGGCCGCGCACCTGCGGCGAGCCCGGAGCGCTGAGCGGGGCGGCTCCGGGGAAGGGCCGGGAGGGGTGGAGGGGGTGGCGCCTCTCAGCGCGGGCGGGGCGGGGCATGGCGGGTGGGCATGGCGCGCGGGCAGGGGGGGCAGGGGGGGGCGGGCGGTCTCGCCTTGAGGAGCTGGCGCGGCGACTGCTCGTGGAGCACGTCGAGTGCGACTGCGTCAATGTAGGCGAGCCAGTCGGGCTGCTGCAGCGGCTGGTTGTCGGTGAAGGGGTACTGAGCAACCTTGCACGCCTCGAGGGTGAGGATCGCTCGCCTGGCCACAGGGAGAGGCGGGTGAAGAGGCGCCGCCCTCGCCCGCGCACGCCTCGCCGGCGAGGGTCGCTCGCCGCAGGTTCCGCTCGCTCGCGGTGGCGATGCGCATGGCGAGCCCCGCAGGCAGCTTGAGCCCCTCCTTTTGGGCAACCGATCCGAGGACGGTGCAGATCTCGTCGTGCGTCGGCGCCGCGACGCGCAGGCACATGCAGCGGGACCGGATCGGAGCGATCACCTGCGGCCGGAGGAGGGGAGGCGGTGGGACGGGCAGGCAGGCGGGCGGGAGGGCGGGAGGGCGGGTGGCGGGTGGAGGTGTATCCATGAGGCGGTCGGGCGCCGGTGAGTCGGCCGGATGGGGCAGGAGTGGGCGGGCGCCTTGGACGGGTTGGTGCAGATGAGCAGCAGCCGGCAGGTCGAGACGTACTTCTCCATCGTGCGGCGCAGCGCGTGCTGCGCTGGCTTGCTCAGCCGCTCGACCTCGTTGAGCACGACAACCTTGAAGGCGCGCTGGCCGTCAGCGGCGGCGCCGACGACCGGCGCGGTCTGCGCAATCTCCTTGATCACCTCCTGCACCACCTCGCGGTCGCGATTGCCTGCAAGGGCGGGTGGGTCACTCAGGCAGGAGACGGGAGGCGCGAATTGCGCCGCTCCCGCCACGGGCACCGGCATCAGACGGGTTCAGCTCGATGTGATGCGGCGAGGAGAGTAGCGTGAGCTCAACATTGTGGGTGCCGATCTTGAAGGTGCGGCTCTCGACCCGCAGCTTCTCCGCCGATGGCCCGTGCAGCTCCCGCAGGAGCGCCATCACCCGCGTCTTCTTGCCCGCGCCCGACGGTCCGTAGACGAGCATGTGCGGAAAGTCACCGCCGGCGACGAGCCGCTTCAACGACGCGCTGAGCGAAGCGCCGTGGTCCAGCCCATCGAGCGTCCTGGGACGGTACTTGTCGACGAGCAGCACCATTGGCGGGTAGTTGGCTCCCGCGCAGGGAGTGGGAAGAGAGAAAGCGGCGGGGCGACTAAACGGACATAACAAGAACACAACAACACTCTCTCACATGACAAGCGATCCCACGACAGCGATTGTGGGGACTACATGAGATCCTTACGTGAAGGGTGGAGGGGCCCGTCCGCAGAGCTAGGCGGTACGGGCGCCCTCCACTGCGGCTGAGCGCAAGAAGCCGTCCGCCGTTTGCTTGTTCGTGACCCAGTTGGGAGAGAGAGAGAGAGACTCTTCTTTCTCCCCAGTTGGTGCGCATCTTGCGCGCCTGCTTGTTGATGTTTTCGGCGTCGCCCGCCACCGCCGCCATGGAGATCTTAGGTGTGTTGTTGGCAAATCAAGACACAGAGCTCACACAGGATCACAGCGGGAGGAAAGCGGCGAGTCGCAATTCCAGGGGTCGTTGTGGCGGGCCACCCTGTCCAGAGAGGCATGGATGCCAATCTGGGGTCTCTCGACCAGATCTGCTGCGTGTGGTGGACGACGAAGGAGGAGGCGCTCGCCGACGCCGCCCCGTGCACCGTCCGAGGTCCGTGTTGGGAGAGAGAGATTTTTAAAGACCAACAAGAAATCACGACTCTCACAGTGATTTGGGCTCGGCAGCTTGTCCGCCCTCAGCCGAAGCTGGGGCCGGTCCCGTAGCCGAGAGAGCCCGCGCCGATGAGTTCGACGCGGTCGGGGGGGCCTGCGAAGAGGCCAGCGAGGTGGCGATCGCTGTACTTCATGGGGGTCATCAAGTGACCGCGACTGACAAGCCAGAGGTCGATACTCTGGGCGACCCATCGGATGCCACGAATGCCTGAAGGAGAGGGAGGCGAGGCCAGAGGCAGGCTCAGCTGTGTTGGTGCCCGCCGCTTCCTTGAACACATGACTGCTTGCAAACAAGAACAGCGCAAGCTCTCGCAATCAATAAAAGGGACACTGCGTCTGTCATGTCGGGGAGGACAAGACAGACCCACCGACGAGCAGCCACCGACGAGCAGCAACCGACGAGCAGCAACATTGGCAGGAAAATAAAGAAATGCGCGCGCGAGGACCGAACCGCCAGCACGCTGCAGCAGCGCCGGCGACGTCCCCCACAGTTGAACGCTTATGCCGCCACAGCGACTGCTGCCGCCGCTCCTGCTCCTACTCCTCTGCAGCGGCCCGCGGATCGCCGCTGCCGCAGACGGTGCCGATTGGGGAGCTGCGCTCTCGTTTGCCGCCGCCTTCGCCGAGTCGGCCCTAAGCACGCAGCAAAAAGTGAACCACAGCTCTGGCCACCGCTACTCGTACTCGTTCAGCGCGGCCAGCCACGCGTGCAGCAGAGAGGGTGTCGCGGTGGGAGGCCGCCCGCGCTCGGCATCGCTGTGTGCCCAGGCGGCCGGCGCGGCCTCCTGTTCGTCATTCATGTATTCCGAGCCGCTTCGCTCGTGCGTCTGCTGCTCCCGGCTCTTTCCGGAGCGGAACGACACGGCGCGGGCACGGCTCTACAGCACGCACGAGGTGCTCGATTGTGCCGAGTTTGCGACGCCGCCGAGCGCCGAGGCGCATGGCTCGCTCGACTCCACGATACTGCACGGCTACCACAAACTTTGGTGGCGTCTAAAGGATTACCTGGACTGCTAATCATGCCTTTCGATCCATGTGTGTGCGTGCCGTTTCGTATTTCGATGCCCTCAGCGGGTGTTGCTGCGCCCTCCCGCGGGCCGCGGGGCCTCCCCGCCGGCCCCCGTGGGCGCGTGGGGGCGGCCCGGGGCCAGCGGGGCCCGCCGCGCGCAAATAAAAGGTTTATACGCGCCTCTTTCTCTTTTGATCTCTTGCATACATGCTTTCTCTGTTGATCTCTTGCATACATGCTAGAACGCGGTGCACATGGCTCTAGTCACTAGTGAGAAATTCGAGAACGGGGGGTCGTTACGCGGTTCGCCTGTGAAAGCTAGCTCTGCTGATGATTCTCAAACATGTTGGTGAGCTCGCCGGGCCGCTCCTCCATGTTCTTGAGGCAAAAGTCGGCCTGCTGCACTCCCTCCTCCAGCGCGGCGCGCCACAGCTCGGCCGCCGCCGCCGCGTCCTTCTCGACGCCCGTGCCCGTGTACAGGAGAATGCCGAGGTTGACCATCGCCTTGGCGTGGCCGGCGTCGACGGCGTCGCGGTAGTAGCCGGCGGCGCGTTTGCCGTCTTTGGAAATGGGCTGCAGCTCGGCCTCCGCCGCGCCGGGCGAGCCCCACGGAGGGTGCAGCGGGTCGAGTGCGACGCCGGCGTTGAACATCGACCGCTCGCACCCGGCCGCCGCGCCTCGCTCGGTCCACTGGAAGGCGGCGCGCGCGGAGCGGTCGACGCCCTCGCCGTTGCGGAAGCAGAGCGACAGGTTGAGCATCGCCTCGGCGTGCCCCGCCTCGGCCGCGCGCTGGTAGCACCGCGCTGCCGCCGACGGGTCGACCTCGACATGCGGCTCGCCGAGCGCATTCTCACCGAGCAGCCCGTCGTACGCGAGGCCGAGGAAGAAGTTGGCGCCGGCGGATCCGGCGCGCGCCGCGCTGGCGAACCCGTCGATCGCGTCACCCACCCGCCCCGCGTCCATCTGCGCCAGCGCCTGCTCAAAGGCCTGCTCGGCGTCCGCCTCGGCCCGCTCGTTGGCGGCGGGCGGCGGCGGCGACGGCGGCGGCGCTGCGGCGGTGGCGACCAGGCGCGGGGCGAAGACGAGCGGCACGCGCAGCGGGCGAGCGAGCGGGCGCCGGAGGCCCGAGAGACGAGTGATCATGTATGTAGCTAGTGTTGCCACTACTCAAAAGAATTTTACTTGCCAAAGCCCCGACACACGACACTAGGCACGGTGGCGTGCCGTCCTCCCATCCCTCCCTTGGGTTGTCTGTTTTCTTTCTTTCTTTCTTTCGACACTAGGCACGGGACTGGCGCGCACTGGCACACCAAAAGGTACACCAAAAGAATTTAAGAATCTCGGAGATGTTTACTTTACGGCCCCCCTTTCCCTGCGAACGCGCACCCCCCAGGGCTACGTGGGCTAGGGCTCTCTATCTAGCCCGTAACCCGATGCCGATCATCTGTCTGGCCCGCTGGGTGTGCTTCTTTTAGCCCCCCGGCCCTGGTGCCTGGATGTGCGGTTGCTGACTGCACTCCAAGTGCTCCAAAATCCAACTCTCTCTCACAGCAGACAGGCTCGACACAGGTGCGGACTGGCAAAAGAAGTAAACCATAATCCCACTCCGGCGTCCGCCGCACCCACCCGCACCCCTGGCAACACCCCACCCCCAACCGGAACCGCCCACAACCCCGCCCCAGGCCCACCCCGCCCCAGGCTCAAAAAAGAATTGACGTGGCGGTGGCCCCTTCCCTGCGAACGCGCACCCCCCAAGGGTCACAGACAGGGCTTTCTTGCTCGTAGAGCCTGTCCCCGACTGAGGGAGGGTGTAGAGGATGTAGAGTGTAGAGCGATGTAGAGCTGTAGAGCTGTAGAGCTGTAGAGCTGTAGAGCGCTGTAGCGCTGTAGAGCTCTACATCTAGCTCTACATCCGCCGCGGGACGAACTGCGTGCGTTGTAGAGCGATGTAGAGGCGCTCTCCAACGTGCGCACTTGAAATCTCTACACGTACGTGCATCAAAAGCGGCGAACGAGGCACGGTCGCTCTCCGACATGAGGCGCGTTGCACTTGCCAGTCTGAGGGAGGGTGTAGAGGATGTAGAGTGTAGAGCGCTGTAGAGCTATAGAGCTGGAGAGCGCTGTAGAGCTGTAGAGCTCTACATCCGCCGCGGGACGAGGCGCCTCCGTTGTAGAGCGATGTAGAGGCGCTCTACAACGTGAAATCTCTACAACAAACTCTACATCATAGTCGCTCTCCGACATGAGGCGCGTTGCACTTGCCAGTGCTGCCCTGGCCTTCTGTCTGCCCGCCCAATGGGTGGCAGGTGCCTCTGCTGCTGTGGCGTGCCTCACGGCTGCGACTGGCCGGCGCCTCGGCGCGTCAGCTCGGCTCGGCGTAGCGATAGTGGCCAGCGCAACTCGCCTGGACTCAACGCTCAGCCAGGAGCTCCCGCACGCGCTGGCGCGAGTCATGGCGCATGCAACGCGCAGCAATGCTCGCCTCGCCTCGCGCAAATGCGACCGTCCTCGCAGCCGACAGTCCACCGCCTGCTAAAGAAGCACAGCGACGAATGCGGCACCGGCGACACATGGCAGGCTGGTCATGACGCAGTTATAGGGTGTTGTGTGCCGTCAGAGTGACTCTCTGTGTGTCAGGGATAGTCAGGGCTGTCCATCAGAGCTCCAGTAAGCTCGGAGACACCCCATTAGCGCGGCTCGACCTCTTTGAGTCACTGCCTTCCCGGCGGTTTTGCTGTAGAGCCTCTACAACAAACTCTACAACAAAATCGCGCTCTACATCGCTCTACAACGGAGGCGACTCGTCCCGCGGCGGATGTAGAGCTCTACAGCTCTACAGCGCTCCAGAGCGCTCTACATCTCTACAGCTCTACAGCACTCTACACTCTACATCCTCTACACCCTCCCTCAGTTGCCAGTGCTGCCCACCTGCCCTGGCCTTCTGTCTGCCCGCCCAATGGCGCAATGGGTGGCAGGTGCCTCTGCTGCTGTGGCATGCCTCACGGCTGCGACTGGCCGGCGCCTCGGCGCGTCAGCTCGGCTCGGCGTAGCGATAGTGGCCAGCGCAACTCGCCTGGACTCAACGCTCAGCCAGGAGCTCCCGCACGCGCTGGCGCGAGGCATGGCGCATGCAACGCGCAGCAATGCTCGCCTCGCCTCGCGCAAATGCGACCGTCCTCGCAGCCGACAGTCCACCGCCTGCTAAAGAAGCACAGCGACGAATGCGGCACCGGCGACGCATGGCAGGCTGGTCATGACGCAGTTATAGGGTGTTGTGTGCCGTCAGAGTGACTCTCTGTGTGTCAGGGATAGTCAGTGCCGTCCATCAGAGCTCCAGTAAGCTCGGAGACACCCCATTAGCGCGGCTCGACCTCTTTGAGTCACTGCCTTCCCGGCGGGTTGGCTGTAGAGCCTCTACAACAAACTCTACAGCAAAATCGCGCTCTACAGCGCTCTACAACGCACGCAGTTCGTCCCGCGCCGGATGTAGAGCTCTACAGCTCTACAGCGCTCCAGAGCGCTCTACAGCTCTACAGCTCTACAGCGCTCTACACTCTCCATCCTCTACACCCTCCCAGCTCCCTCAGGTCCCCGAGCATCCGCCGCCCGCTGGGTGCGCTTCATAGGCTCTCCGCGCCGGCCCGCCGCGCCCGGCCCTGGGTGTGAGGTTGCCGGACACCGCTCCAAAACCAAATGCACAAGCGCGAGAGGGGCGGCGCCGGTTCCCATCCCTGCGTGGTGGCGGTCTGCGTGCCGTCCCCCCTCCACCCCTCCTCTGAGCTCTGACCTCTGTGCTCTGTGGTCTATTCCGTTTTTCTTTCTCTCTCCGTGTCAGGAGATAATCCCTCTGCGCTGCGCGTGCGCCGTGCCCGGTCCACCCTTCCTCCGTTTTCTTTCCCCTCGCCTTCACCCCCCTGATCTCACCAGAGCCTCGCAGACGGACAGAATCTTCGAGATGTCCGTCTCGGCGGTGATGCACCTGTGTGCAAGAGTGCGGGGTGGCGTGGGCGGCGGCAAGAGGGGTGAGGCCCAAGGGGCTCAGATGAGAGAGAGGGAGCGGCGGACCCAAAGCCTTGAAGCACGTGGCCGTGCACCCGCACCTGCGGGGCGCGGCGGGGAGGGGCGGAGGTGGGGTGGCAGCGCAGCGCCACGCACCGCGAGCCCGGACGCGGCGGCGAGCCTCGGTCAGCTCGTACTCGCCCTCGGCGATGGGCGCAACCTCCATCGCCGCCTCCGGGTCGATACGGAGGAGCGCCTCGGAGATCGCCTGCAGCCGCTGCAGCGCCGAGCTCGGCGGCGGAGGAGCAACCCCCTCCCCAACCGAGCCCGCCTCCTCCGCCTCCTCCTCCGCCGCTGCATCGCCCAACCCGCCCGCCCCGCCGCCCGCCCCGCCCGCCAACGCCCCCTCGCGCAACCGCTCCTCGACCAACGGCAGAGGGGAGGCCGACCGAACGCCGGCGTGCGAGTCTGCGGCGAGCGAAGGCGCCTCCCGCCCCGCTCCGACACCTCGCGAGGAGCCGCCTCCCAGCGCCGCCCCGCCCGCCACGCCGCCGCCCTCGGACGCCGCCTCGGCTCCTCGCCGCGCCCGCCTCCCCGGCCGCACGGCGGGTTTGCTATCCTGCCCGCCCTGCTCCGCCTCTCGGCTGGCTCGGGCTTCGGCGGCGGCGTGCGACATCGCGCCCAAGCAGAGCTGCAGCAGCGGCTCGAGCACAGAGCCGCCCGACACGAGGCCGACGTCGCGAATCACCTACTCGCACGCCGCCCCACGTCCGGCCGTGACGCCGCCGGCGGGAGAAGGGGCCAAGCCTCTGCGGACCGCTCCGCCGACGGACACCTCGCACACCCTCAGCTCGCGAGGCCCTTCCCACTCCGCCTCGACGGCTGCCGCCGGGTCGAGCTCGCACAAGCGGCGCCACAGCTGCCACAGCCGCGCGAGCGCCTGCTGGCACACCGCAGCTGCGTGGGACTCTGCGCCGGGACGGAAAGGCGCGAACGACGCCGCCCGAGCGCCTCCCGCCCCGCGGCCGGGCAGTCGAGTCCCGCCGCCCCTCCTCGCCCCGCAGCGACCGCCTCGCCAGCCGCCGCGCCGCCGGTCGCACCGCCTCCTCCTCCGCCAGCCGCCGCGTCGTCCGCCGCGCGAACGACTTCGCCAGCCGCCGCACCCGCCTGCCCGGCTCCCGCCCCGCCGCAGCTGCCCGCCCGCTTCAGCCCTCCCCGCACCTCCCTCACGGCGGCGAGCTCGTCCTCGGCCGCCGCGAGCCTACGCGCACGGCTCCCTGGCGGCTCCTCGACGGCTCCCCGAAGCAGCGCCTCTCCCTCGGCCGCGTGCGAGCCGGAGGCGCAGCTCCCGGACTCGCTCCACCAGCTGGGCCTCGTCCGCGCGCAGACGCGTGGCGTACGCGGCGCGAAGCCGCGCCTCCTCCGCCGCCTCCTCCTCTCCCGCCGCGGCGATGCCGCGCCCTCCCTCGACGCTGCCGGCGGCCGCCGCCGCGCGAGAGGCGGCGGCACCAAGAGGAACCTGCGGCGCGGCGGCACGGGCTCAAGTTGCCGCACACTCGGTACCACAGTCGCTCGCGGTGCCACCGCGCCATTCCCGCCGCCCCAACCCTCGACCCGCCCCCACTCCCTCCTCACGCGCACCAGTCGCAGCCGAATGTGGACGCAGGCCGTGCTGAACCACGCTGCGAGGTTGTGCAGCCTCACGAGGGCGCTGCCGGTGTCGAGGCGCGCCGTCCCGTGAAGCTCGCCCTCGACGGTGAGGCCGAGTAGCTTCCGACGTCCTGCTGCATTGGCGCCACCAGCATATTCGACGCCGTCCTCCTCGCTGGCCCTCTCTGTGCGGCCGCCACCCTCGTCGCCGTCGCTTTCGGCCGCCGCTCCGAACCACAGCTCGAAGCCGAGAGACTGGCCGTCGGCACAGCGCACAGCGTACCTATCATCGCAGCATGATTCAATCCGGCAGAGGACGGTGGCGCTCACAGCAACGGGGCCGTCGGCCACCGCAATTCCGACGGCCACCAGATTCGCAGTGGCAGGTCCAGCTGCTGGCCAGGGCCGAGCAGAAGCGGCTCGTCGTCTGAGGTGCCGAGCAGCGCCTCCTGCTTTCCGGACGCGAGTCGCAGGCGCTCGAAGGTGGCGATGGCCGAAGGTGGAAGGGCGCCCAGCGAAGGAGGAAAAAATTGCAATGCAGTCTCACTGCCGCTGCTGCGGCCCGCCTGCTGGCTTCTGCTGCTGAGCCGTTCGCCCTCAGGCTCAGCCTGGCAGATGTCAAGGCGCGACTGCTCCACCCGACGCTTCTGGACCAGGTGCGCCGCATGCTCTACCTCGACTCCGTCTCGCAGGGCCTGTAAGAAGAGAACATGCTTAACCTGCAGACAGCTGGTGTGGACGAGAGCGCGTCTTCGTCTGTTGTGTTGTTGTGCCCTTGTTTGTGTCCTTGGCACCGTGTGTGCTGGGGGGGGCGACAGGGAGGATGTGGCCCTGAGTTATGTGTACGCCAACTCAGGGTGTGTGGCAGCCCGCTGGCTGTGTGTCTTGTGAGCTTGTTTGTGTCTGTGTGTCGCTCGTGCGTGTCGTCATCATCTGTCTAGCGTCCACCCATACCGCGTTGATGTCCAGTCCGAGCCTGGCTGTTCTTCACCTTCCTACCTAACCTAACCTAGGCCTGCGGGTCGTACAGACTACAGTCTGTTGCGGGCATTAAGAAAACAGGGCATGAAGAAACCCTACCAAGCGATTTCCGCAAAAATCAAACCACGGCGCGCCGCAGGCGCGGCCCCAAGAAAGGGCCCACACACGAGTGTGAAGCTGTGAACAGGAGCCCCGCTCTAGGGTGCCCACAGGACCCAAAATAAAATAGCTTTCCCTCAAGACCGCCGTGATCTACGACAAGAGGGACCGCGCCTCCCCGAGCTTAGTGAGGAGCCGGCGGAGGGGGAGGGCGAGCCGAGAACGATAGAGAGGCCGCGGATGCGGGCGCGACTCGCCGACCAGGGAGAGCCGGCTCGACCTCCCTGGGAGGGGTGGCGACACGATCCAATGCCGCCATCCTCGCCCGGGGAGACCCCGGCCGGGCCGCCGACGCTCTCAGAGGCTGCGGTACCAGTCGAAGGCGAAGCGGAGTCGAGGCCACAGCCGAGGAAGAGGCACCAAAAACGACTACAGAGGCAGTCTGGTAACGCCCGGAAGGCGAGCAAGGGACCGGGACGAGCCGAGGGCTCGCCCCGACAGGCGAAGGAAGGGACTCTGGGACCGGAGTCGGGCGGGCGCACATGAGGCGTATCCGTGTACGTGCGTGGAGTACAGTGTTGTGTGTCCGTTAGCTCCGAGTAGAGGGGGCGTTCTGCAGTTAAGGGGAAACCCGGAGCGCAGAACCAACCCTCGGAGACCCGTGTTTACTTTACGGCCCTTTCCCTGCGAACGCGCACCCCCGGGGCTAGGGCTCTCTAGCCCGTAACCCGATACCGATCATCCGGCCCGCTGGGTGCGCTCCTTAGCTCCCCGGCCCTGGATGTGAGGTTGATGACTGCACTCCAAGTGCTCCAAAAGTGCTCCTCAAAAAAGGGACGCACAGGCAAATCTGATGTTGGAGTGTTCCAATAGGAGCGAGGCCTCTTCCGTTGGGGGACCGAGTGACTAGGAAACGAGGGTTCTCTCCGCATGGGGAGCCCCGGGTACTCTTTATTTAGCTGTCTGTACTCGTCTAGGCAGGGGTTGGAATGAATGTATGTATACAAGCGACGGAAGCGATTCCCGACAGCGGGAACTTGATCCGTCAGAAAAATCGCAGCATTCTTACCATCGTGGGATCGCTTGTCATGTGAGAGCTTGCGTTGTGTTCTGCCATTCGCTTTCTCTAACCACGCCATTCACAAGCAAGCACAGACAGTCGAGAAGGGAGAGACAGCAACGACAGTCAGAAGCCAGCGCTGGGTACCAGGAAGGCGAATGCGATGACGGCCTCTGGTGTGACCACGCCATTCACAGACCTTGTTATTGAGAATTCACAGGGATGTGTGAGTCGGCCGGCGCTCCATACGGCCAGTGAGCTCCCTCTCAACAACAACCACCACGACCAAGATGACGCTGGACTACGTCGCGCTCACGAAAAAGTACTTTGAGGTCTGGAACGCGCACGACGTTGCTGGGATACAGGCGCTCCATGCGGCCGCGTCATCGCTGGACGACTGGGATGCGTCGCACGGCCCATCAAATGAGGCTGTCGCGAACGGCATATCCGGTATCTGGAGTGCGGTGCCCGAGATCAAGATCGAGGTCATTGATGTGTTCACCATGGGCGAAAAGTCATCCACGTGCGTCGCGCACATAAAGGTGATCGTGGATGCGACGACCACGCTGAAGGTTTGTGACGTGATCGAATATGATGCGAGTGGCCTGGTTGTCTCCCTCAAAGCCTACAAGGCCGACTGAGCGGTCAGCGCGTGTCGTCAGAGGACAGAGCTCCATCGTCCATGCAAGATATATATTGTGTGATCTGCTGGTCGGAGAGCGGAGTTTTTCTCGTCGAGAGCCTCGTAGATAGAATGATCATACACAGTCTTACTCTCAGTCTTACAAGTTACATGCACATCTCAGGCAACATCTTTTCGCACACAGGATCACAGCAGCTCCCCTCGCAGCTCTCCGCGGAGCAAGTCCAGCGAGAGGCTCGCCACCACCACCTCCTCACCGAGCGCGCGCGGCGTCGGCAAGAAGACTGCGCCCTGCCAAGACGGCGTGGGGCCGAAGCGCGGGACGTCACCGCTCTCGGCGGTGGGGCCGGTGCGTATCAGCGCTGCCCCCGCCCCGGGCGCGTCGCCAAAGTCAAAGTCGACCCAGGCGATGAGCGCGTGCGCCGTCCCCGCCCGAGCCGTCAGCCGGACGCGCCCCTGCAGTAGCGCCGCGTCGTTCGCCGCGGGCAGGGCGGTCTCGCACCACGTCGCCGCCGGGCTCCGCGCGGCGTGCGAGTACTGCCAGAGCGGCAGCGACCGGCCCTCGCCCGTCGGGCGGCACAGCTTGTTGAAACGCCGCACGTCGAGCCCCGCCACGTCCCCCACCGGCGCGTGCCGCATCCACAGCGCGGAGCACTCGACGAGGCACGCCCGCAGCACGGCGCGGCAAGGCAGCATCGGCGCACCAAGCGCGACCATGCCGTGCGCCTCCGCCCACCGCCGCCTCCGCACGCACTCCCCAAGCTGCTCCCCGCCCCAGCACCGCTTCAGCGTCGCAAAGCTCGGCGCGATCACGACTGCGTCGAACCGCGGGCCGACGGCCAAAGGCGCGACGGAGGGCGGCGGGCTCGTGTCGGGGCCGGCGTCGCCGCCCTCGCCGCCGCCCTCACCCCTGTCGCTCTCGCCATCGCCGCTGTCGCTGGTCTCGCCGCCGCCGGCCTCTTGCCCCAGCGGCGCCTCGGCCAGGCCCGCCAGCAGCTTCACCTCGACGCGGCACGACGCGCCGGACGAGGCGACGAAGCGCGCCGAGAGGGTCCGCATCGGAGCGCTGCCCTCGGCACACACGCACTTGCCGACGCCCGCCCCCGCCCCCGCCAGGCGCTCGCCCGCCAGGCCCTCACTCGCCAGGATGCTCCACAGCGGCCCGTCGCCCGCGTCGAGCAGCCGAGGCGCCCCTCCCTCGACGCCAGCCTTGGCACGCACGCGGCGCACAAAGGCGGCGGCGGCCGCGCGCGCGGCGGCGTAGTCGAGCCGGTTCAGTTCCTGGAGCCTCTCGTGACCCCACAGGCAGTGCATGCCGCACGTGCAGAATGGGCGCGCCGGCGCGTCCGCGCCCGGGTGCGGCGGCGAGGCGAGCGCGGGCGAGCCGCTGCGCAGCGCCATCCAGATCTCATGGTCGTCGAAGGCGACGTGCAGTTGCGTCGAGGCGGAGGCTGGGTCGGGAGCATGTGCGGGGAGGAGGAAGGCCGCCTGCATCCAGTGCTCCCGCTCAAAAGCCTCCTCCCAAGGGCTGGTGGACAGCTTGCGCAGCTCGCCGCCTCCCTCGCCGCCTCCCTCGCCGCCTCCCTCGCCGCCTCCCTCGCCGCCTCCCTCGCCGCCTCCCTCGCCGCCTCCCTCGCCGCCTCCCTCGCCGCCTCCCTCGCCGCCTCCCTCGCCGCCTCCCTCGCCGCCTCCCTCGCCCTCGAGCATAGTGCACTCCCACCAGGTCAGCAGTGCGTCGGCTCGCAGCCGGTCGTCCGACGGAGTTTGACCTGCGCCGCCGCCTGCCTTGGCCTGAGGCAGTGGCTGCGGCGGCGGGTGCTGCACTCCCGAGGCGGGGGGGCGGGTCATGTCGATGTCGACGGCTCGCACCGGGCCGCTCAGCGGCACCAGCTCCTCCTCGCGGATCAACGCCGACGCGCGCAGCTCAAAGAACTGCGGCCCGCCTGCGCACGCGCCCACGGCGGCCGGCACGCCGAGCACCGACGCGGCCGCGCCGCTCAGGTGCGCCGCGTCGCGGAGGAAGGTGCTGTGCACCGGCTGGACGAAGAGCGAGATTGACGACGGGACCGAGAGCGCGCCGTCCTCCAGCAGCTCGTGCCAGGCGTGGCGCAGGGCCGGCAGCAGCCCCTCGCCCAGCAGCCCAGAGTCGAGCAGCTCGTGGGTCATCAGCGACGCGCGGCGGCGACCCGACGCTTCCGTCGAGTGAGCGTTGATCACCTCGAGAGGCAGGGCGTTGTCGGCAGCCACCCGTTCTGCCAGCCGTGCCAACGCCGGCACGACCTCGAACGCCGTCACTGCTGCGCCCGCCCGTGCAGCGATCAGGCCGAGCAGGCCGCTGCCCGCGCCAATGTCAACCGCGTAAGGTTCCGAATCGGAGGAGTTCCGAATCCTCCTCACGGCTTCGGCGATGGCACGAGCGTAGGCCTCGTTGCGATCCGTGTCGTGCAGCATGTCGCGGTGGCCGTGGAAGCGCATATTGTGTCCACTCACGCACTTCCACAGCGCGGGCTCTTGAGCCGGCGCACGCGGATTTCTTTTTATCCTATTTCTTTTCCACCTAATCCCGCAGCCAACTCCGAGTGAACTCTCAAGGGTCTCGAGTTGCCGGCGGAGCTAGCAGCTGCTCGGCGTCCTCTGTTCACACCGAGCCCTGTGCGAGCGGCCGGCCTATAGGAAGAGACAGCCTTCCTCTGCCCATGCAGGTCGAGATCCTGGACGCGCTGACCGACAATTTCATGTACCTCATCGTCGACGTTGCGACAAATACGGCGGCCGCAGTCGATCCGGCTGATGCGGAGGTGGCCGTCGCGGCGGCAGCCCGGCTCGGCGCGACCATCACTCACGTCCTCACGACACACCACCACTACGATCACGCCGGCGGCAACAACCAGATGAAGAAGCTGTGTCCCTCCGTCGAGGTCGTGGGCGGACGCGGTGAGAACGTCCAGGGGGCGACGCGCGAGGTCGCGGACAAGGAGTGTCTTCAACTCGGCGATGCCGTCACCATCACCGCCATCCACACTCCCGCCCACACCGCCGGTCACACCTCCTACCTGGCGAGCGCGCCCTCATCGTCTTCCGCTGTCTTCACGGGCGACGCGCTCTTCGTCGGCGGCTGCGGCCGCTTCTTCGAGGGAGGGCCGGAAGACATGTGCGAGACGATGCGGAGGCTCTCTGCGCTGCCGCGCGAGGCGCTCGTGTACGCGGGCCACGAGTACACGGTCAAGAACCTGCAGTTCGCGCTGGAGGTGGAGCCCGGGAACAGCGCCGCGCAGCAGAAGATCCAGTGGGCGGAGGCGCGGCGAGCCTCTTCCGAGCCGACCGTCCCCTCGACAGTGGGCGACGAGCTGCGCTTCAACCCGTTCATGCGTGTCGCCGTCCCTGAGGTGCGCGCCTACTGCGGCGCCGCCGACGACGACGTGACGTGCATGCGCCGGCTGCGCAACAAGAAGGACAACTTTGCAGGCTCGTCGCGCCCGTGGGTCCCTGGCGGAGGCCCGCTGCCGGGCTTGTGACCAGCTTGTGAGTTGTGGCGGGTCGTCGTGGGTCAGGGTCACAGCGTTCGGCGCGTTCGCGATTTGAGGCGCGCGGGCGGACTGCGTTGCGCGCGTCGAAGGTGGAATTATCACAAAGCGGAAACACACGATTTTTTACACCCTCCGTGTGTGGCTCCGAAGGCGGCGAGGTCAACGTATACACACAGTACACAACGCGCGCACATGGGCACATATGTGGGGTACAATGCTCAACGGGGTGGGACAACGTACAACGTTCCGCTACGTTCTAGTCAACGTTTTGCAGTCATCGAAATCTCTGTCTTTCTTAGAGATTGAGAGGAGATATTTGTTGTTGAGAGGAGTGAGACCTGAAGATTTCAGGGCAGATCTCAGTCTTAGGGCTGTCAAACGTTAAGAGCTGAACAGTGTTGCTAGTGTTAACAGTAACAACAGAACAACAGTGGGGCTCCCCAACAACAGTAGCTAACGTTAGGCCGGCTGAACAACAATACCAAAGAGCTAGGGAGCGCGAACAACACTTGCGCCTGCCCCAGCCACTAGCAGATAGCAGATACAGCCCACAGGCCACAGGCCACAGCTCAAAATTTGCTTCGGCTCGCTGCGCTCGCGTGGCTCCGGCGGACGGAACGCCGCCACATCGTACCCGCTCAGAGACCCGAGATGATCTCCGATGGCTCCCGGTAAGCGTCTACGAGGGGCGGGCGTGGAGCAAGTGGGTCCGCCCTTGCACCGCGAGAGCACGACGGTGGTACGAGAAACCCCAACCTAGAGCACTCGAGCTGTGATGCGGCTCAGTCCACGATCACGAGCTGATCGTCCTCGGCCACGAGTTCCTCGATGAGGAAGAAGTGCACAATGCACTCGGCGATCCTCTGCACGTTGCGCAGAAAGGCTGTGCGGTCCACGCGGCGGCAAACAATGTAATCTCTGATGCTCTGCACATGCTCATTCGTCAATGCCCTCCTCACACTCGGCAATTGCCGCATCTGCAGCCCCCTGCTCCATATCCCGATACTTCTTGAGTGCTCGGTTTAGCGGCGCCTTGCCGCCGCACTTCTCGTACAGCTCCTCGAGCTCGACCCAGCGTGTGTCGGTGAAGCCTGTGTCGTGCTGGTCCTCTTTGAAAGTGCCGCGCGTGAGGTAACAAATTGTCTTGTCGGCAGCAGCCACGCCTCGACACGCAGATGCTCCACTCGCACACCGGCTTTGAGCCGTACGTCAGGGGCGGCGGCCCCCCCATCTACAGATGATATGCGCATCTTGAGAGATAATATGCATCTAAGATGCGCCCTACTTGGACTGCACACTGTCTTGCCTATGCTCGAGCATCTCTAGATGGTATTTTCAACTTAAGATGCCGGAGCAGCCTGGGATGCTCGAATCATCTGAAGATGCTTCGCATCCCAAGATGCTTGGCATTTCATGATTAAAATGCAAGTTAAATTATAAAGACTTCAGCGGCGTGTGAGCCCTTGGATCAAAGTGGAGTGGAGACTATGAATCTATGCTAATCTCAGCTGCTATGCTATGTAAGTGTGATGCGACTAACTAGATCTACTCTGTTCGTGTCTGTGGAATACTACTCGTGATGGTGATGGAACTGGGAGCCAGTGAGTGATCGTGGGGGGCACTTAGCCCTTGTGCTAATGCTGACTTTACTACACTATGGACGGTTGCGGTTGTTATGTAAGACTGGTTTTTATTTCGGGTTCGGGTTTGGCAAAAAAAACTCCGACACTGAAAATTGGAAAAAATCCGACAATACGCTCATGTTCCTGAGATGCATTGCGCATCCTCAGATGCCACATTGCATCCTGGGATGCATGGACTAACCCAAGATGAGGGTATCATCTCGGCACACTTGTGCGTCTGGAGACGACTGCAGTATATATCTGAGATGTCACGGGCTATCAAAAGACGTGGGGCACCATCTAAAGATGATTAAATCTTCTTGGAGAACCCAATCATAGCGGAGACACCCGGTGTCCTTAGATGGAAAACACATCCTAGATGGCGTTTGGCATCTAGGATGCGCATATCATCTGTAGATGGGGGGTCGCCGCCCCTGACGGTACGCCAGGAGTGGACGACCAGCTGCGACAACAAGGGGAGGCTCCTGAGCTTTAGCGTTGAGCAGTGCAGCTGCGGGCGCTCGTGGGCGGCTGTGCAGTGGTGAGAGTGCCTGATTGGGGGCGAGTTGGTGCTGCGCCAGGGTGCGCAGCATGCCCTCTTGCTCTGTGCTGAGGCATGCTGGCTGGCGCCCAACACAATGCCCTGGGTACATTGCTCCACGCCGTGCTGACTGGTGCAGTACTGCCAGTGCGCCGACTGGCGCGCAGGGTGCGCGTCGCCGCGCGTGGCACGGGTGGCTCGAGAGGCCGGCTGTCGGTCAACCCCGCGGCGCATGGCGCCGCGGAAGCTGCTCGACAGGCTGCGGGCATCGCTGCGTCAAAAGCGCCCGCCCTCTGCTTTGCTTTCGCCCGCGTTTTACGACAAGGTTCGGTTTACAAGTCCGCCGACTTAATGATTTTCGGCCGGCCGCAGGTCGGGCTGGACGCGGCTGTTTCGGCCGGCGGTCGGGGTCGGACACCAGCTGAAAATTTTGGGCGATTTTCTCCCGTCACTTCCAGCTCACCCCATTTGTCAAAAGGATTCGAATCTCGAACTTCTATTTACTCCTTGAGGTTCCCTCAGGCCCGCCGCCGCGCTCGCTGGACAGCGGCCGTGACTCACCTGCTTCGGGCGCGCTGCTCCTCGGGGATGGCGAGAAGCGGCAGAGGTGATGCTCATTCATAGATGAGCTAGCCCCAGATGCCCCGTTTGCCCCACTGCGGCGCCGCGCTCGTGCCGGCGTGCGAGTGGGTACAATGCGCCCCCTCGGCCGCTCGCGGCCCGGAACGCATCGGGAGATATTCATTCGTATACGCCAAGACGTGCTCTGGCTGCTGCTGCACCTGCGCCGGGGCGCGTGTAAACCCTTGCCACCGCGGGTGCGGCCGCGGCCGCAGTGGTGTAGGCGGACAGTAATGATGCCGCGCGGGCGGAGTGGCGGACACGAGGACGCTGCCGTCGGACGAGGGGTTGCTATCATACGCAAGCACGAGCCGTCGGTGACGCGACGGCGTCATCACCGTTGGCCAGCATAGAAGCGCGAAAACCTGCCCGTGTGTCGGATGCGTCCCCAAACTTGTAGCGCTACATCTTTGGACACACACCGGCGGGCGCTTTCGAGGCGACCGGCAGCATTTTTTCTAGCCACATGGACCTTTTTGCGGCACGATAGCTGGGCTGCAACATACGTGTACCTACACTCGACTACAGCTACGACTGCAACGGCGCGCAGCGCCGAAGAAAATGTTGGGGCTTCTCGAGCGGCGGCCGGTGTGGACGCCGTTGTTTCGCAGCTCGGTCGGGGGGGGGCGCCCCTGCGTTTCCCTGCGGTCGGTCGAAAATCATTAAGTCGGCGGACTTGTATCATAGCCGCCGAACTTTACCTCGCTGTTTCTTTATAGGCGTCTCGCAGCTGCGTATTCTTGTATTCTCGTGTTACCGTCGCGTAGTACGGTACTGCGTCGGGGCGGTGCGTATTCTCGTATCACTAGCTGGTGTCGTGTCCACTAGCTCCGAGTAGAGGGGGTGCGGTCTGCTGCTAGGGGGGCCCAAGGAAGCGCGAGGGGGAAATTCCGCCGCTGAGGGAAACCCGGAGCGCTGCCGTACGCCCTCGGAGACCCGTGTTATGGCCCTGCGACCGCGCACCCCCCGTCCCCCCCACGGTCGAGGAAGAGGGTGCGTTCTGCAGTTAAGGGGTAACCCGGTACACGGAACCATCCCTCGGAGACGTGTTATGGCCCTGCGACCGCGCACCCCCGGGGCTAGGGCTCTCTAGCCCGTAACCCGATACCGAGCGTCCGGCCAACTGGGTGCGCTTCTTAGCTCCCCGGTCCTGGACGTGAGGTTAATGACCGCACTCCAAGTGCTCCAAGTGCGCCGCAGGCTCCCCGGGCCCCAAATCTCAACTCAAATCTCAACACGAATCTCAAATTGATCAAATCCACCCAACCCTTCTAGAAGCTTCGAGGCTTTTGTCTCAGTTTTCACACCGCAAATCTCCAAATCTCAGCTCTCAAATCTCTAGGTTGGAAGGCCGTCCAAATCTTCAGTCTCAAATCTTGAATCTCGAGCGAACTCGACCGCAGATTCCTTTTGGTGTGGGAAATCTCATTCTCCAAGTCTCTGGTCTCTAATCCCAAAGTCTCCCACCGGAGGCCGAGTGACTGAGGTCTCAAATCTCAAACCTCTGGTCTCAAATCTCAACAACTGGGTAGCACTGTAGAGAGACCCGAGTGCCGAGAGCGGAGGTGTCTTTCAAATCTTTAAGCTCTCAATCTCTAAAAAAGACTAGAGATTTCAATTACCCACTTTTTGATCTACTCTTATACACGTATATTCGGAATATTGTAATGTCACGTACACGTGGTACACACACTCTAGTAACGTCGTGTACAAACTAAATCAGGAGCCTCAGGCCACGCGCGCTCACCGACACCCGATCCGGCCTGGAACCGGGAGATTTGGAGCGCCAAGGCACCGCGGATTTCTGCGGCGTCGACTACGTCCGCGACGATCGGCGGCCAAACATCGGGAAAATCCTCGCAGGAGAAGAGCAGAGGGCGCCGGGATGCGGCACGACGCCCTCCGGGCAGCCCGTCGGTTTGACCCGGCCGCTCGTCTTCATCTGCTCGAAGAGGTTGTTCCAGTACGACTCCGGGTAAGGCATGCCGGAGCTCATCGAAAAGTCGCAGTGGAACTGGTGGTACTCCTCGGCCACGTAGAAGGGGCGCTCATTCGTGTCGTAGACGTACACCGTATTCTCGGCCGGGTCGCCGGCGCCGTCATTCTTTCCAGCTCCGGGCTTGAGCAACATGCGAAAGGCATTCCCGCGCTCGAACACTTTGTAAAGCGGCGAGGCCATGCCGCCCGGCAGCCCAAACACGGAGCGGTAGGCGCCCCCTCGGTCGCCGGGGTCGGGCCGCACGCGCTGCCCCGCTTCGCCCGTGAAGGAGCCAAAGAAGTCTTTGGCGAGCGCGGCGAGCTGCTTCTCTGCCGACGCGGCGTCGAGCGTCACCTTCACCGTCTCGGCAAATCCGTGCGCCGCGTAGTCGCGCGCGTCGCCGGTGTGGTAGCACACCGGCCCGCTCGCGTTCGCCACCATGCCGCCGGCGTAGCCCACGAGCGCGGTCACATCCGCATCCTTGCGCTGGAAAGGCCCATTTTCCTCCGTCTCGACCTTGTAATACGCCCACTGGCGCTCCCAGAAGCAACCATTGCCTAGGTGCACATCGATGGTGCCCTTGGAATCGACGGTCGTTGCGGTGCCCGAAACCTGGCCGATCAAATCAGCTGCGCTCCGCCTCGCCGCCAAGAGCAGAGCTGTCAGGCAGAGCGAGAGCGCCGTGAGCTTGAAGCAGCCTGCCGGGCGCCGACGCGGCTCGTCGACGAGCAAGAATTTGGCTGGCTCATCGGAGGAAGCTGCCAGCATTGTGGTCGAATAGCGCCGCGGAAGGCGATCAGACTGTAGTCGAGCGCGTCGGAGAGGTGTACTGGAGTACAGTCCTGGAAGCCGCCGCGAATGTAAGTAAGTGGGCACAACATTGGACCCCCTCCCCCGGGCCCCGCTCTCAGTTGGGGCCTCCGCGGCCGAGTGGGAGATATTGGATGGATGGGAAACGGGTCGATTTGCAAAGTGGGGCGCCGGGCCAGGCCCGGCCCGCGCGCTTTGCCGGGCCCGGCTTGCCCCTCCCGGGCCGAAGCGCCCAAATCAGCAGGTCGAGGAGCGAGGCGGGCCCGGCGAGGAGAAAACCGGGCCGGCAAACCGTCCTGCCCGGGCCCGTCTGCGGCACATAGGCCGGCCCGCTCACTCACAGCCGGGCCCGGGCAGGAGGGTTTGCCGGGCCCGTTTTGCGCGAGGCGGGCCCGGCGAGAGGAGAAAACCGGCCCGGCAAAAGCACGCTCGGCGGCCCGGGAGCGGCCACTTTTGACCCGGCCGGTGCCCGCCGGTGCCCCTGCCGGGCCGGAACCGGCCCCGCCCGGGCCCGCCCCTTACGTCCGGGGCCCCAGTTATATCCGGCGGCTTCCTACCTCATGTATCGTATGTTAAAGTTATGGCCCACTTCAGAGCTGTGAACGTGAACAGAGTGGTACCAGCACTGTGGGTCGTTGCGGCACGCATGCGGGGCCTCCCGGACGCATGATCCTAGCCCAATTGGGAGCACTTTTGCCGTCTAGGCGGGGTTCCCCCCCACATAACGAAGTTGTGTGAGCCACGTGCCCGTCCGGCCCCTAGTGCCCCCTTGAGGCACAATAATGTGGCCTCCCAGCGAGCCGACCACAGGGTTGCTTCGGCGGCCTGAGCGCCCGAACTGCGCTCCGAGCCGCCACGCCACCCTGCTCGCCCTACTTGCGACCGCTTGCGCCGCCGGAATGGCAGCGTACACGGTGGTGCTAAAACCTCGGTCGAGTGAGGATGGAGTGGCAGCAGCTACGGCTGTGACTCAGTCGAATGAATCGACTCCGCTGCTGCTGAGCGCGCTGCTCCGTGAGGGGCGCGTGGCCGAGGCGCGGGCGCGCTCGAGGATCGAGGTGGACGGCACCTTTCTAGGCCATTCTGGCTTCCTCGCCGTCAACTCGACGTCCGGTCGAGTGAACCAGCTCTTCTTCTGGCTCCAGCCCTGCACCGACGGGTGCGACCCCAGCACCGCGCCATTTATCCAGTGGTTCAATGGCGGACCGGGCTCGCCTGATACCATCGGAGCCCTCAACCAGATCGGGACACACTATGTGGACGCTGCAGGCGCCATCGCGCCTCGCTGCTTCACATGGTGCAGGGCGAGCACCTGCCTCTTTGTGGACAGCCCCGTTGAAACCGGCTTCTCGTACCAGGAGCTTCTCGACAGTCCCGTCGAGTACACCGCCACGAGCCGTGAGGCCACAGAGCAGGTGCTACATCTGCTGCTCCAAATTTACCAGATCTTTCCCGAGTACCGGTCTGCGCCCTACTACATCCACGGCCTCTCCTACGGCGGCCGGTACGTGCCGTACATGGCAAAAGCGGTGCTGTCGCACAATCGCGACCACCCTCACGAAGCCGTGGACCTGCGCGGCATTGCGGTCGGTGACCCGATCATCGACAATGCCGCGCAGAATGCAAAGGTCGCGCCGGCCCTCGCCGCGTTTGGCCTCCTGATGGAGGACGAAGCGGCGGCGGTGGCCGCCATCATGGCCAACGCGACTGCGCTTGCAGCCGTCTCGTGCGAGGCCTCGTTCCGCGAGTGGAACCGCGTCTTCAACGACGATGGCGGCTCCTCCTGCGCGCCGTTCTGCGATTTCCTCTTCGCACAGTTTACGGGGTCCACCAACACGGAGCACGCTCTACTCGGCGCGCAGCCGGCGAGCTTTGGCCGCTTCCGGCCGTGGCTCCGCGACCACGCCAGCGCGCTGCACGCGGCCGGCAGCCCGGCCGCTTCGGGCCCTAACGTGAGCTTCTCCGAGGGCGGCGAGGTGTACGCGGCTATGGTGGCCTCGGGTGATTTTTGTGCCTCGACCGCGCGGCTTTACGCCGAGCTGCTGCTGGACTCGACGCCTCCCATCGACGTCCTCGTCTACTCTGGCAACCTGGATCCGCTCCTCGGCGCGCGGGCGAGAGGGAGTGGCCGGGCCCGGAGCCTTCGCTAGTCACCAAGAGGCCTCGCCGCCCTAGGCGCTCCCATGACCGAGGCGGGCGTTGCGGCGATCCTCGACCGCGCCAATGCCAGCCTGCCGGGCGGGGGCGCCGCCAAGCGCGCCTTTTACAGCGCACGCAAGGACGTGTGGCGCGTGGCCGAGACCGACGAGAATCCCGCGGGCTACGCTCGCTGCGCGGAGCCTCGCGCAGGTGATGGGGGAGGCCCACGGTCACGCTTCTGCTACATCGTTGTGCGAAACGCTGGTCACGAGGCGGTCTCCTACGCGCCGCGCGCCATGTACGACCTGAACGAGCGGCTCATCGCCCGCCTCCCCTTTGGACGCGCCGAGGGCAACGAGGCGCGGAACGCTCTCGACCGGCGCCACACGCCCACCTGCGCTCCGTGCGGCGGCGCCCCGCCCCTCGCCGGCGACGCGCTGCCCGAGTGCGTGCACTAGCACGTTGGAGGTGGCTGCCACCCCAGAGACTGAGGAAAGGGCGGTTGGCGGGCGGTGGCATGCCCCAGCCCCAGTGCAGGAAGACACACCGGTCACCGCCTTTGCGCGCGGCTCTTCACAGCTGTACTCTATTGCGTGGCTATTGGTATTGCGGCGGCGTACCGGCGTTTGCGTCAACTACACAACTCACAAAAGATTGGAGCATGGAGGGCTAGCCTGGCCCTGGGGGCGCGGTACCGTGTGGTTGCAGGTTGGCAACCAGGCAAGTGGGGGTTTTATGGCCGTTTTGCGGATTTCGGCCTGGCAGCCGCCGGCCTTCTCTCCCTTGCCTATAGACGTAATACCTGGAATTAGAAAATAAAAACAAGAAAGACAGAACTAACACGATCGAGATCCCGCGGCCACTCCTTCTCCTTCGCCACGCCCTGAACCCTTTGTACAAGACCTCCTATCTCTCGCTCCCCGCAACGCCCTCTCCCGGACCCGCCCACATCTACCCACATCTCCCGCGGCACAAGAGCACTCCCGGCACCCAGCCCTGGGCTCGACTCTCAATATCGTGCTCACAACAGTGCTGCTGTACTTGGACATGGTCCGCGCTCACGCGCCATATCGCTTCAGGATGCAGGCGTGGCCGAGGCCGCCGTCGGCGCACGCCGCGACGAGGGCATACGTGCCGCCCTCTTTGACGAGGCGGTTGGCGGCGGTGGTGACGAGGCGCGCGCCGGTGGCGCCAAAGGGGTGTCCGATGGAGAGGGAGCCGCCCTTTGTGTTGAGCTTGGTCATGTCGACCGAGCCAACCTTGTCGACGCCGGGCAGGTTCTCTGCAAAGAACTTGTCCGAGTCCATCGCGACGAGGTTGGAGAGCACCTGCGGGCGAGTGGAGGAGGGGGGGGGGGGGTGGAGGGGCGGAGGGGCGGGGGGAAGGGGCGGAGGGGCGGCGCGGCAGGGGGTCGGGAGGCGTGCTGCTCGCCTGCCCGGCGAAGGCCTCGTGGAACTCGATGACGTCGATGTCTTTGAGGGAGAGGCCCGCCATGCGCAGCACCTTTGAGGCGCCGTACGTCGGCCCGAGCAGGAGCTCCTCGAAGGGGTCGCAGGCGACGAAGGCGTACGCGAGCAGCTCTGCCTGCGGTAGCGGAGGCCGGCGCGGTGGGGAGGCGGTGGGGCGGCGGTGGGGAGGCGGCGGGGCGGGGGGTGGGGCGGGGCGGTGCCGCGCCTTTGGCGAGAGGCCCAGCTCGGAGGCCTTGCCGTCCGACATGAGGAGCGTGGCGGAGGCGCCGTCGGTGAAGGGCGACGCCGAGGCGGCGGTCACCGTCCCGTGCGGCTTGACGAACGCCGGCTTGAGCGTCGCCTAGAGATCCGACCGGCCACTCGGTCACGCCGGCTGCGCCTCGATGGCGCTCGAGGGCGGGGCGCGAGAAGATGGCGCGCGCCATCTTCTCGAGAGAAGAGTCGGCGCGAGGGCCGTCCTCGAGCGTCTTGCCGCCCGGCCCGGCGATCACCTCGCCGTCGTAGAAGCCGTCCGCGTGCGCGTTCGCCGCGTTGAGGTGCGACCTCAGCGCGAACTCCTCCTGCTCGCGCCTCGAGACTCCGAAGCGGTCCGAGAGTCGGTCTGCGTTGTGACCCATCACCTGGGAGGGGCGAGGGAGGCGTGGGTGCGATGGGGAGCGGGCGGGCCGACGAGCCGGAGTGAGGGGCCGCGCGCCTCCCCGGTGAGGAAGTTTGCGATGGCGGGCTGCTCCGGCGCGAGGTCCTTCATCTTCAGTCCCTTGAAGAAGATGGACGCCATCTGGCCGGGCGACTTGGCCTGCAGGCGAGGACTTTGGCCGTGGGCGGGCGGGCGCGGGGAGAGCGGCGGGCGGGCGGCGGGCTGCGCCTTCGACATCTTGATCAGCTTCTTGCGGATCGGCCGCGAGTAGCGGATCGGAGCGTCGGAAAAGGTCTCGACGCCGCCGGCGAGCACCACCTCGGCCTGGCCAGAGAGGATCTGCGACGCGCCCGTGCAAATCGCCTGGTTGGACGAAATGCACGCCTGCCGCACGGGAGGACGGACGGGTCAGGGCGAGTCGCGGCGCGCGAGCCGCCGCGTGCCACGTGCCGGCGCGCCTGCGTGACTGTGTGCGCCGGGACACCGCGAGGGATGCCTGCAGCGAAGGCGGCGTCGCGTGCGATGTTGGAGGTCTTGGGCTCCTGGATGACCTTGCCCCACAACACGTAGTCGATCGCCTTCGGGTCCACCGCCGTCTTGGTCAGCAGCCCGTGCATCGCGAGCCGCGTGAGGTCGTAGCTCATGAGGTCAAAGTACTCGCCGCGCGACGGCTGGAACGGGATGCGGCAGCCGTCGACCAGGACAACCTTCTTCTGCCCTGTCGACGCGGCGGTGGAGCGCGCGCGCGCGCGGACGATCGCCGGGCGGACGGCGCGAAGGCGCGTCGAGAGCTGCAGCATACCAGCGAGGGAGGGCCAAGTTCTGCTGCTCATCACGGGAGCTAAATCCTTATCCGCAACGATTTTTTTCTTGTTTCGCTCCTCATCGCAAACCCTGTCAGCAGTTCACCCCCTTAGGTATGTACATACAAAAAATTTGGCTTCCAGGCTGCTGTGGGGAAGAGCTGACGCAACACTCGCCGACACGCCGAGGCTCGCGCCAGCCCCATCTCGGGTTGACTCGGCCAGACTAAAACCCCGAGCGGCGTGGGAGTACCTCGCTTGGCCCTTGGCGCCGCGCCGATGACAATCCCACCGCTCGCCGACGCCGCCCGGCTCGCCGCCGCGGTCACCGCCGCCGCGGGTGCGCTCGGCGCGGCCGCACTGTTGCTCTACCTTCCCCGCGATGACCTCGCCCGCGAGGGCGACGAGTCGCTCGACGCGCTCTGCCCGCGGCCGCCTCCGGCCGAGACGGACTGTAGCTGGCCGTCCAAGGAGGGCTGCTCGCACTTCCGCCCGCTCCGCCTCACGGTGAGCCTCGACCTGCCGCCCGAGCAGCGGTGGAGGGCCATCGCGGGCGAGCCCGGCTTTGCAAAGGTCCTCCACGGCGTGATTGTCCGGCTCTATTCGCGCTTTGTGCAGCGGCGGCTGATGCAGACGCCGGTCGGCTGGCTCTACGCCGGCCTCATCCGGCCGTGCTCGCTGTGGACGCTGCCTCCGGTCGGGCGGGCCGCCCAACTGGTCTGCCGCAAGCTGCTCGAGAAGCACGGCGGCGCCGAGGCGGTGGCGGAGACGCTGTTCGGCGCCGAGTACGCAGCCGAGATGCGCGGCCTCTGCGCCGCGTCGGGGCTAGACCTCGGCGACGTCATCGTTTGCAACGCCGTCTTCGAGGCGGCGGCGGCATGCACCAGCGCAGTCGCGACGCTGCCCGACGGCACGATCGTGCACGGCCGCAACCTCGACTACCCCGAGGTGTATATGCGCGCGGCGGTCTGCGCCGTCCGTTTCGTGCGGCGCGGCGAGGAGGGGCGCGAGGCGACGGCGTACGATGCGACGGTGCTGCTGCCGTGCGTTGGCGCGTGGGACGGGGTGCGGCCGCGCGCCTTCTCGCTCTCGCTAAACACGCGGCACAAGAGCGTCCACCAGCAGCCGGTGGGCGAGGAGGCGTGCACCTACAGCTCGTTCGACGGAGGGCCGCTCCGGACGCTGCGGCGGAACTGGCGCTGCTTCCTCGCCGGCGAGTGGGGCGGCTCGCCCTTCTTCTCCGCCGCGCGCCGCGCGCTGCCGCTGCCGCTGCTGATGCGCGCCGCCCTCGAGCACCGGCTTACCTTTGGCGCCGCGCTGCGCTTCCTCGCCACCGAGCCGCAGGGAGGCCTCTCCTACATCACGATCGGAGGCACGCGCAGGGGAGAGGGCGCCGTCATCACCCGCGCCCGCCGCACCGCCGCGGACGTGCGCACGCTCTTTGACTACAGCGGCGCGGGCGACGAGGAGGGCGGCGGCGAGAAGGGAGCTTCCCGCTGGGCGCTCGTGCAGACCAACCACGACCACTGGCTGGTGGACCCGCCGCCCTTCAACGATGGAGCGGGCTGCGACGGCAACCGGCGCGAGGCCGCCCTCGCCAAGCTCGGCACCGCGCCACCAAACGTCTGCCCCACCCCTCCGTCGCCGCCTCCGCTGTCGCCCTCGTCGCCCTCGCCGCCGCTCGTGCGGTCACCGGAGGGCATGAAATTCAGCGCCAGCCTGATGTGGGAGTTGCTGGGCGCGTGCCCCAACCTGCGGGAGGACGGCTCGTCGGTCTGGTCCTGTGTGGGCGAGGCGGCACGAGGCACCTGGGAGCTGCGCTTCAGCACGGGCCTCCACGATGAGGCCGAGCCCTGCCCCTACTGGATCAGCGGCGGCGGCGGGGCGGGCAAGGTGCCAACGAGCGGGCGCTGAGCGTGGTCCCGTGGAGCTCTGGGCGCTAAGTGCTGCATTTTTTCTGGTACCGTCACACAGCGCGCACCACGACTATTTCACTGCTACAGTACCCCCTTGATTGATTGATTGATGGGAAGGCGAAACACAGTCCGACCCCCTACCACAGAGTCAGAGAGCACAGGGCCACACACTTCAAGTTTGTGGTTTGAGCATTGAGGCGGTTTTGAGCGCGCTTCGCTTGGGCCTCTTGGCCCCTTGGGCGCGCGCCGGCCCCGGCCGCCGCGCACACGGGGCGCCTCACTGGTCGTCGCCCATCGCGTCGTCCTCGGCGGCGGTGGCGCCATCGGCCTTCTCCTCGGCGGCGGGCTGGCTTGTCGCAACCTGAACCTTGATAGGCTCGGCCCTCGCCCGCTTGCGGACCGTCACGTGCAGCAAGCCGTGCTCCAGCGTGGCCTGCACCTTCTCTGGGTCGATGCGCTCAGCGGGCAAAGCAACAGCACGGTGGATCTTGCCGCAGTAGTTGAGGCCGCTGCGCTCGAACTTGGACTCACCCCTCACGCGGAGCACCCCCTCGTCCAACGTGATGTCGACGTCCGACGGCAGGACGCCCGGCGCCTCGAACGCGAGGTGGAAGGCGTCCTCGGTCTCGCGGAGCTCGGAGGAGTGGCAGCGTGGCGGGGCGTGCGCGAATGCGTCGACCAGGTCGAAGAGGTCGTGGCGCGGGAAGGGCATCTGGAAAGCTAGCATTGCTGCTTCGATTGATCGGCAGATCTCTGGACCCTTCTGGAGCGTCGCGATCACTCTTGTCACGCTCGAGATTCATCGATGTGTCTGGAGCGTCGCGATCACTCTTGTCACGTTCGAGATTCATCGTCACGTTCGAGATCCCTCGATTTCTGGAGCGTCGCGATCACTCTTGTCACGTTCGAGATAGATTCATCGATGTCTGGAAGTACCTGCTTGCATTAATTAATTAAGGAGGTCAAGCGTTGCTGTCTGTCTGTCTGCTGCATGATGACTCCGCTGCGTCTGTCGACTGTCTGTCTGCCTGTCCGTTCTCGATTCGTTCGTTCGTCTATCTTAACGTCTTGTGCGCGACCTTGGTCCTTGCCAACTTCCTTGCTTCTTGCTTTTTGTGAAGCGTTTCGCGTTTGCGCCACAGACTGTTCTTCCCTGAGATACATACAAAATTAATCACGTTTGCTCCCCCTGATCTCTGCAAGCTTTACATGAATGCTACTTACTGCAGTCTGACTGATTGATTCCCCTTTCTTTATACTTAGCAGCCTTTCTACACGTACCTCTCGTGCCAATGCGTGACGGGCGGAGGGAAAGGTGCACGGCGGCCACCCCAGGTTCTCCCGAGGCAGGCTGGTGATGGGACCTGCGAAAGTTGAGTTTACGCTATTCCGGCACGTAATCCTATCTAGATAGGGAGGGAATCCCTAGGTACGCCCAGGCGGGCGCGCCGCAGCATATCTTTGATGGTGCTCTTTGCGGGTGGCGACGACTCGTCCGACGCTCAACCCTACGACGCGAACGAGGAGGAGGAGGAGGGAATCCCAAGCAGACCAGGAGCGGGCGCCGCGCTATACCCGCAGTGCAGCAATTGCTTTGCCCAGTGCACGGCTGATGCGCTCAATGACCAAGTAATCCAGCTCGGCTGTTGGGATATCTGCTGCGTTGAGCGCTTCACAAGCGGGCTTGAGTCCTCTGGATTGTGGTTGGGCACCGGCGCGCTCAACAGCGCCATCGGAACCGCCGGCTCTATGAGCAAGCAGTATGTGCCCGGCGCCAGCCTGATGGCCGGCTTCACCGGCATGGCAGGCGACGGGATGGCACTGAATCCACTGACGCGTCCCTGCCCTGGCTATGACTTCGCCTCGCGGTCGTGCCAGACGGCGTGCATCTCCTCTTTCATGACGATCGCTTGGAATGGATGTTGGGACCACTGTTGCACCTCACCGCCCGACCCGCCACCTCCACCCTCGCCGCCAGGACCGCCGTCGCCGTCGCCCCCGCCGTCGCCGCCACCCCCGTCGCCTTTACCACCGCCGTACACGCCGCCACCTTCATCTCCACCAGCGCCTCCAACGCCGCCCCCTCCACCATCGCCGCCGCCCGAGCCGCCAGCGCCTCCAGGCCTCATCCACCAGGCGGGCAACTGGCTTGGGGGGGTGGCTGGAGGCGCCCTAGGGGCGACAGGCGCCGTCGCAGGTGGCGCGGGTGGCCTGATCGGGCAGGTTGGCGGCGCAATCGTCGGTCGTGATGGCAGTGCCCCGGATGTTAACTCGACCCTGGCTCGCAGCCTGTCCATCACCGGGACGGCGTATGATATGGTCTCCGGCGCAGCCGGCGCGGCCTCGGACGCTGCGATGGGTATAACAGCCACGGCGGTGGGAGGCTCCGAGAACCTCGCAGCGATCGCAGCGGCGAGTTCTTTGGGGTCAAAGACCGCGTTCGGAAAGTTGCAAGAGCAGTCAGAGCTGCCGGCAGACATGACCGAGGCGGCCATGAGCAAAGCCGAGACGGCCTTGGACCAAGCCACCACGTCAGCGACGACGACGGCATCCGGCATGCTCAGCCTATTTGGCGGCGCGTTCAGCGCAACTGCCAACAGGTTTGCCGGACAGCCTTCGTCGCCACCAGCACCTCCTTCGCCGCCGCCGCCGCCATCCCCCGCACCTGTGCCTCCCCCCGAACCCCCACCGCCCGTGCTTGATGTCGTCTCGGGTGCCTGGTCGAGCGCTGCACAGCATGGTACGAAGGCGCTGCAGACGAATGCCCGCGCTGCCGTGGCGACAATGAACGCGGCCATGACCACGGCGTCTCATACCGGGGCGGTGGTAGACACTCTCGCCGAGACCAGCTCCAATTTCCTTCCGGTGGTGGGGCTGCCATTCAGTGTGCTTGGCGAGTCTTTGCGTGAGGAGCCGCTTGCCGCTTCAAAGGACTCTGCGCGACTACCCGTGACGCACTCCTCTGCCGCCGCCGCAGCAGCCTTTCTTGCATTTGGCGGTGCCGCTACCACGATAATTGGCATTATTCTTGCCAGGGCATGGCGGCACACGCGCAGCAGCAGAAGGATGAACCGGGAATCGGTGTGCGTGTAGCAGCTAGGCTCAACAAACGGTGACAACGTCCGCCGCGCCCTAGCCAGACAGTGTCAGTGTCCTGTACGCTGAACCCCTAGAGGCTGTAGAGACCTACCGCTTACCGTGATTTTCGGCGCAGCCGCAGTCGGGCAGTTTCCACACGTGTGCTGTGGCCTGTGGCTGTGCGTCCTGTCGTCCTGACTCCTGACCTGTTCACCATCCTGTAGTCGGTGTGCGGTGTTTCACTTTCAGCGGGTCACAGAGGTCGGGTGTCCAGAGTCCACCGACGTGCGTGTGCTGAATATAACGTGGCTAAAGTGACACTCACTGTGTGAGGCTGTGACAGACATGCATGTACATGTACAAAATACTTTACACGCGTGAGAGAGACGTACGCGTGTGACCCACTGTGGTAAAATCCCTTGGCCTCCAACTTCGCGCCCCGCGACCCTGGCTGCGCGCTCTTCGCGAAGACTGCGACCTGTGTCGCTTTTAACGCGCTCTCACATCGTTGGCTCGATTGTGGCCCGGCCATCGCTCGATGATGTCGGCGTCGCCAGCGAGCGCCCTCACCCCCTCGGCGTACTCGCGGCGCGCCACGTGCGCTTTGACGGCCGGCATGTTTTTGAGCGGTGCGCCGGTGACTGGGCAGCGCATATCTTGCTTTAGCGCCGCCTACGGGTGCGGGACGAGGGCGGACTCTTCCGGTGCCACCGCGAGGCGCGGGCGGCGGTGCCAGTGCACGCGCCTCCTCGGCCGCATGCCCGCGCGACAGCACCTTCCCCGAGCTCTCGATCTGCGCGGCGACCGACGCGGGGTGGAAGAGGAAGGAGGTGGCGAACGAGTTAAAGTGCTTCTTGTTCTTGAGGGCGTCCGAGTCGAGGTCGGACGAGAGGAGGTGCAGGTGGAGCTGGCGGAGCGACGGCGCGGCGTGGAAGCCGCACAGGAAGGGGGGCAGCCCGGGCGTGCGCGCGCGCAGCGACGCGGCGAGGTGGCGGGCGAGGCGTTGCATCGAGCGGAGGAGAGGGAGGTGCGACGCGGTGAGGTCAGCGGGCCCGTCGAGCCTCGTGCGCGGCAGGATGAGGAGGTGGACCCGCGCCTTCGGGTAGAGGTCGTAGCCAACCACAAAATCGCGCGTCAGCAGAAAGATGTTCTCGGCCGGCTGCGCCTCGGGCGACATCGCGAGGCGCTGCAGGACCTCCATGCCGGAGAAGCCGCCGGGCTTGGGAGGCTGCACGAGCAGCGGCAAGTCTCGCCCTCCCCAGTCGTCAGCGTCGTCGCCGTCGCCGTTGGCGCCGTCGGCGCCTTCAGCACCGCTGCTGCCACAGGCAAGGCTGCCCCCACCCTCATGGCCCTCGCCGCCATCGCCGCCATCGCGGCCGCCGGCGACAGCGCGCCGTTGCTGCAGCGGCTGCTCTTCCGCATCAGGCGGAGGCCGCTTTACACTGTGCGTCGCAGACGTGTCGTCTCTGCCGGCAGCTGCTTCGCCCTCTGGGCCGTCTAGCCGAAACTCGTGGGTGCCAGCCAGAAGGAAGAGGCGGTCGAGGCGACGCATTTCGGCCGCCGGCTCGCCTCGCCGGAGTACGATTGGCTCGTCGCCAGCGGCGCGGACCAGCACGACAGGGTTTGAGCCCAGACTCTCGAGCATGAATGCCGCCGTCGATGTGGACGCGGAGAGTGAGGCGTGCTGCCGAGAGATCCGCTTGTCATCGAGGCCCGCCAATCCTCGGCCAACAATCGTCGTGACTCCAGCTGTGAGTGGGATGCAGAGCGGCCCGACAGTCGAGCGGAGGCACCAGCCCGTCACGCTCATGCCGACACAACGCCGTCTCTTCTCTTGTCTCGAGCCGGTGCGCGTCCCTCGCGTGGGTTTAGGAGGAGGCTGCGCTGCACAAGCACGGACGGGAGGGCTTCTCCTGCGGAGTCGTGCGTGCGCGGCGTGTTTGCTTTTTCTACGAACCGCCCCCTCCCCAGCTCGGGGGACTCGCATCGGTTGCCTCCATGAACGGCGGAGCTATCAGCTATTCTCGCGTCCACACCACACCTGGCTCCAACGTGGACACGCCCATAGCTACCAAACTTTAAACCTCCATAAACATCATTTTGCAGGGGCATGCAAGGGGATATGCAACGGTGGCATAAAGTGAATGATACGGATATGCAACGGTGGCATAAAGTGAATGATACACCGTCGCAAGATTGGTCCTAAAATCGACTCCTGGGTTGGCTGGCCCCGAGAGCTGCGTCTCGAGCTCCCGGTGCCGTTGCCAGACGACCCCGAGCGTCGGCGCCCAAATAAGAGGCCCGGCGCTCACACTTCTCTGGTAGGACGGGAACGATCACAGAAAACTGCGGCCGCCAGCGACTGAGCGTCTCGCTGGCGGACGGGGAGAGGAACACAAAGGGACGTCCGGACGTCCATCCACTGGGATGAGAATACTGGAGATCTGAGGTCGAATCTGCCGATTCCACAGCCGCCCACAGGAGCGCCGCCTCAACACGGGGTCTCGGCTCTATCGAGCCATGCTAGCTCCAGCCTCAGCCCCACCCGGCCGCCCGAGGGTGTTCCCGCATGCAGAGAAGACCAATCCTGGGGGAAGTAACCACACACAGACACATTACAACACGTCTGCGGCGCAGGGAAGTGGAGGGTGGGGCAGACGAGAACAGGACTCGGGCGCCTAGAAGCGCGAGGGTCCGATAGTTTGGTGACGATTGAGTCACGGTTCCCCCCTCACCCCCGGTGGGTTGAGTTTGTCGGTTCCTCTCCTCGCGTTGTCGGACAACCTACATAGCCGCTGCGCGGCTATCTGCGACGAGACCGTGGGACACGCACCGCCGACAGTCACGCCGTCGCTTCCGCGGCGGCGCTTATTGAACAACGCAACTCCGCGTAAAAGAATTTAAACAATCGAACTCTCTCTCACAGCACACAGGCTCGACACAGGTGCGAACTGGCGCGTGCTAGAAGAATTTTACAACAAAGCTCCCTCGCACAACACTGGGCACGGGACTGGCGCGCACTGCGTAAAAGAAACGACAAGGTCGTGGACTGGCGCACACTAGCACACACATCGGCACACCAATGGCGCCCTTCTGCCACGAGAACTTTCGGTAGCCAGGAGCCAAAGCGCGAAAGCACTGCGCCGACGCTGCACCCTCCGTGCCGCTGGAGCCGTCGTGCGCCTCCCAAAGGTACTGCAGAGTGCAGACGCCGCAGCGAGTCTCAGGCCGGATGCCGAACTCGTCGCGCTGCACAAACGTGTCGGCGGCACGGAAGCGAGCGCGACCCTCGGGCGTCGCACGAAGACAGCCAGCACAGCAAGCAATGCCGCGCTTGCGCCGTTTCACGTGCTTGTTGTTCTTTCCAGCAAAACGGTACCAAAAGAGGACAGCAGCTTCAAACCCAAAGTGCGAGCGGATGAGGGCGAGCCATCCGTCAAAAAGGCCAACACGAGGCTCCACCATCGCCTCCAGCCGCTTCGACCCAGGCTGAAAGCTCGCAATCTGGGCAAGGACAGCGCTGGCATAGCCGGCGCTGCCCGGCGTCTGCGCAACAGCCAGAGCGACAGGCTGCTCTTTTCCCTGCACACTTTTGAGTCTCCGACCATACGCGGTGCGCTGTGCGTTGGCTGAGAGGGCTGCGACCTCGGCTGGACTTGCATATGGCGTCATCTCCCTGACGCTCGACGCGCATCTGCTGCAGGACGTGGCCGAGTTGTGGTTGACAACGTCTCTGCAATGCCGACACAGCCACCACTCCAGCCGCAGCTGCGGCATTGTGCGCCATTCGGCGGCCGACGGTATCTGACCGCGCTGCGCTCGCAGCTGCAAAGACACCGCCGCAAATGCCGCCGGACCCGCATCCGGAAGAGCCAGGATTCCAGCTGCCGTCGATGCTCCATCGCCCGCAACAAGCGTGCGATGCTGCGTCACTGCGCCAAGAGGCGCAGCAACCTCGACCTGGGTATTGCTCGGGTCCGCAACGCCCACGGGGCGAATGCGATTGCCTGGCCCTATCGCCAAACGGCTCTGCTCCTCCTCTTGTCTGGCAGCAAACGCAAGCTGCGGCACAGGCCGCGTTGGCGCAGAGGTGGCGGCAAGCCTCAACGCGCCTACCCGTGGCATGCCGCCGGATCGGGCCACGACTAAGGCTGCAGGATTCGGCCCCGCCTGCTGCGAGTGCCCTCCCGTTGCGGTGTCCATTTTGCGTGCAGTGGGACTACAACTGTAGCGCGTCGGCAGGATCCCCAAAACCGTATAAGCCCCCCAAATTGAATTCGACCGCCCAAAGCCGTCCCCCCCCCCGCAAACTCTAAACCACCATAAACTACACAAAACAGGGGCTCCAGGCCCCAAATGACGTGTGAGTGTTAGATTTGTTTGGTATTGCTAAAAATCCTCCACTACTAGGTCACGCATGGCGGCTTCAGAAGTTTTATCTCTGGGCCCCGAAAGGCATCTCTAGCAGCGTCGTTACGCACACACACACACACGTTGTGTTGTGTGTGTGGTGGGGTGGTGTGCACCCCGGTGGTGGTGGTGTTCTCATCAAACACAAAGACACTCTGCTTTATCGAAGCCGACTGCCCCCTCCACCCCCCTCTCACCTTCGATCTTTTCGCTCCTTTCGGCCGCCGCCGCCGCCGCCGCCGCCGCCGCCGCCGCCGCCGCCGCCGCCAGTTGGCCCGCCCTCGCCAACCGGCTTGCCCGCTATCACCTGCGCCGACGTCGCCGACGACTGCGAGAAGAGCCGGTCCGCTTCCCTGAAGCGGTTGATGCGGCGGATGGCGCCCGACGAGCCCTGTGCACGCGCGCAGAGGGCGACGCGGGGTGGGGTCACCGCAGCCGGCCGCGCGGGTAATGTATTCGACGCCGGCGGTGGCAGCTCGCCCTCTGCGCGAGTGGTGAGGAGCGGCGGCACACCTGGACCCCGAGATATCCATCCCACCCTCGTAGGATATTTCCATCCTTGACGGTCTCCTGGAGGTACTCCTCTTCAAGCTCGTAGATCTGCCGCTCCGTGCGCGCCAGCTCCTCCTCCAACACTTGCCGCCGCTCCTGCGGCGCGGGGGGCTGCGGGTGACGCGGCGGCGCGGCGGTGCGGCGGCGGTAAGGGGAGGCGTGTCGGGCGAGGCAGAGGCCGCTCGGTCAGCGGCCGGGGGTGGGAAACAGTGGAGACGTGCCTGGATCTTGGCCACGTCCATGGCGTGCGAGGCGCGCGCTTCGCACGGTAGCAACAAAGCACAAAAAACCTAAAACCCATAAGAAGAAAATCCGTGGTGCGTGCCGTCCTCCATGCCTCCAGCGGGTTTTTTTCTTTTTTTGAAGAAGAAAATCCGGCTTCGCCGACGCCAACGCCACAGTCGGCCGTGCTTGTTGACTTTGAGAGGTGCCGCTGAGGCGAGGCCGTGGCGTACAAGGACCTAGGCGGTGCCGCTGAATGCTCGCCGCGGCTGCCGCCGCTGAGGGCGAGGCCGTGGTGTACGAGCATTTGGAGCGGTACCTCGAGCGGAACGGCGAGGAGGCCACCTTCGAAGGCTGGATCGCCCAGCTGCACCCGGAGAACGTCAGGGTCGACGATCGACTGCTCTTGCCCGCCTCGCGGCATGCCACGCTGTGGAAGGAGCAGCGACGGCGCGCTGCTGCAGCACGAGGCAAGGAGAGCCGCGCCGAGTTCATCGCGTGCACCGGCCTCAAGGGACGAGGCCGCCTCTGGCCGTGTGGGCCAAGGGCGCTCGCGGAGGAGCCGGGCACAGCCGTGGCGCCTGACACAGCCGAGGCGTCGTACGATCCGGACGAGCCAGGGCCGAGCGAGGCGCCGCAGCCTCGCGCCGTCGCGCCACCGGAGCCACGCGAGGTCGTCGTCACCGTGCTGCCCGGCGAGGCGCGGCAGAGGCTGCTCGGGTTCGGCGGCAGCATGACGGAGGCGAGCGCCGCAGTCATCATGGGCTCGCCGAGGCGGGAGCAGGTCCTGGACGACCTCTTCCTCCCTCCCGCGGCGGGTGGCGCAGGCGTGAGTGTCGTCCGCGTGCCGATCGGGGCGTCCGACTTTGCCCTCGAGCCACCGGGCGCCTACTCGTACCGCGACAGCGAAGCAGCGCCCTTCGACGCGTCTCGCGACGAGGCGCTCCTCGTGCCGTGCCTGCAGGCGGCCAAGCGGCGCTGCCCGCACCTCACGCTGATCGGCTCTCCCTGGTCCGCGCCGGGCTGGATGAAGTCGTCCGGCTCGAGCGTCCGTTGGCTGCCTCCGCCCATTGAGGAGCCCTGTGGGGACCCTCTCGGAGCCTGCCCCGTAGGATCGCTGGTGGGCGGCTCGCTCCGGCCGGCGATGCTGCCGCAGTACTGCCGCTACCTGCTGCAGGCCGTCCTCTTTTGGCAGTCGCACGGCTTGCCTCTCCACGCGGTCACGCTGCAGAACGAGCCCTTTCACGGCTGGGCCAAGTACCCGTCCTCGCGCTCTCGACGCTGGAGCAGACCTCCACTCCTCACTCATCCTTGGTGGACCATGAGGTACCCGTGCATGACCCTCGACGAGGGGCAGCAGGCGCGCCTCGCCGCCGACTGCATGCTGCCGAGGGCGCCTCTTCACACCAAGCAGCTGTGAGCAGGCTCGCCTCGCCGCCCTCCTCTCGCGGCTGCTGCGCGCCAACGGGCTCGCCACGCGCGTCCTCGGCCACAGACCTGCAGCTGCCGCGCGTGGAGCCGCGAGCAGCGCCTCTCGCCAGCCGCGCTGCTGTGAACAGGCCACGACCACAACTACTCGCTCGCCAAGCGCGCAGAGGCGCTCCTCGCGGCAGCCTCGCCGGGCGACATCGACGGCACGGCGTGGCGCGTGTCACACCTCATCTTCTCCTTGTCGCGGCCCGCCACCAGCCTGTGATTCGCTCGCTCCTCCGCCGCAGGCACGCGTACCAAGGCCGGCCTGCCGACGCTCTGCACGGGGCCGTCGCCTCGCTGCCGGTGTACGTGACGGAGCAGACGGCGCACACGCACCGCCCGCGCGAGGCAGAGGAGAAGGGGACGGCGGCGGGCAGCGTGGCGTGGGCGGTGAGGAACGTGCTGGTCGGGCCGGCGCTGCTCGGCGCGGTCTGCGGGCTGCAGTGGAACCTCGCGCTCGACGAGACGTGTGGGCCGGTGCTGCGTGGCGGGCCGACCAACTGCCGCGGGCTGGTCGAGGTCCCGTCCGGAGGAGGGCCGCACGAGAGGTCGCCAGAGTGGTACGGTGTCGCGCACGCGTCCGCCGCCGTCGCCGCGGCGACGGAGGCAGCAGGCTGCTGGCGGGTGGCGAGCAGCCGCGACTGCGAGGCCGAGAAGGTGACGGTGCTCGTCACTGCGACGGCGGGCGGCCGGTGGAGCGTCGTCGCGCACAACGGCGGCGGAGCGCCGGTCCGGCTGCGGATCGCGTTTGACCAGGCGCCGGCCGAAGGCGCGGGGGAAGAGGAGGAGGGGGCGGAGGCGCCCGAGCTCACGTCGCCGGTCTGGAGCTGGGAGGAGTGGCAGGAGTGGCTCCGGGTGGAGGCGGACGGCGGGAGGGGGGAGGAGGAGCGGGAGGGCGAGGCTGGTTCGGAGAGGGAGGCGGCAGGAGAGGCTGGGGCGGGCCCGGGGGCAGCTGCAGTGGAGGCCGAGAGTAGAGCGGAGCCGGCAGAGACGGCAGCGCCAGCAGCAGCAGACCCACAGGCACCGGCACCGGCAGAGGCAGCAGCGCCAGACCCTCCGCCAGACCCAGAGCCACCACCAGCCCCAGACGCACCGCCAGAGCCGGCCACTGCGGCGGGCGGGGCGGGGAAGGAGGGCGGCACAGCCTCGCGTGTCTTTGAGCTCCCTCCGCACGCCATGCTCTCCGCCTCGGCCCTCGCTCCGCCCGACGGCGTCGTCTTTACGCCGCCGCCGCTTGCCCCTTTCCCTGCGCGGCCGGTGCGGCTGGCGCGGCTGCCGTCGGCGGTGCTGCTCGTCTCGGTGGCGCACGGTGCGCTGCCCTCGCGCAACGCCGGGAGGCCACGCCGCCACGAGCCGGAGCGAGAGTCAACCCCCCCCCCCCCTCTCCCTCCCCCTCTTCTCCAGGCACCATGCTCGCGGCGCACGGCGAGCAGCCCGAGCTCGTCTTCCAGTCGCACATCCAGCCGCCCGCCACGCCGGGCACCTGGGAGGTGTGGAGGCCGCGCGAGGTCGCCCCCCGCGTGTTCCGCCTCCAGTCCTCCCACGGCACGCTCCTCGGCGTCGAGCGCATTGGCCGCGTCCTCGTCCAGCGCCCCGCCGCCAACGCGCTCGCCGCGCTCGAGTTCACGCTCTTCGAGTTCGACGACGGCACCGTCGGCCTCTGCGCGGACCTAGGCAACATCCACTTCCCCGCGCGGCGCTTGCTCGACGGCATCCTCGACCGCGACGGTGGCTGGCCCCTGCCCTGCCTGAAGCAGGGCGCCTTTGGCTCGTGGGAGTCCTTCCGTGCGATTCCCGCGACGATGTGACCCCGCTGCGCGCTGGACCCTCTCCCCCGCACAACCGTTTCAAAATCTCTCCACAAACGGGTGTTTTTGGTATGTCGAAAAAAACTCGAAACTGCGACCACACCACGAGGCGTCGAAGCTAATGAGATTCAGTCCCAATTATTAGAGCCGTATAGAGCAGACTTGCGCCCGTCGGCGCAGTCGAGTGTCTGCCCTTCATCGCTAGTCGTCCACCCAGAGCGCGCCCAGGCGCTTACGTCCTCCCCCCTCCCGGTGTTGCTGTACACAATAAACGGCGACTCAGAGGCACAGTTAGTGTCGCATGCTCACCGGACAAAACAAGCGTACGACCTTCGTACCACCTTCGCGTAGTGCAGAAGGGACTCGGAGGGGGCGGTTGCCTTGCCGCAAGGCAACCGCCATCAGCATGGGGACATGAGAACGTAGACACGCGCCCGTGGCGCGCACAGTGCGTCGTCCCTCTGCGGCCGGAGGGTATCCTCGCTCCACGGGAGGAGACCGAAAGGCGGGCGCGTCAAACAGAGCGACAGGCGGGCGCGACAAGTAGCAGCGCGAGCGTTGCCGAGTCAGCCGTGGCCGTCGCCGACGAGCGCCGGGCAGTGGCAGGGGGCTCTCTCTTGCCACTGCACCTCATGGAGGGGGCAGGTGAAGCTCCGGCGGTGCCACTCACCCAGGCAGTGGTGATGATACACGCAGCCGCAGACTCCTACAATCAACAGCGGTGTCAAGGAACGGTGCGACCAGTGGAAAGCCGATTGTATCTTTGTCGTGCCAAAGCTGAGCGTGCACGGCGAGCCCGAGGCTGGACGAGACGAGCAGCCGATGCACTTCTGAATCAGAAGCGAGCGACAGATGGGACACGAGCCTGCGACGACGGTGCTGTCCACCGGTGCGAGCGCGAGATGATTCACGCCGCCGTTCGCGTGCCGCTTGGAGGTGCCGCTGATGTCTGGCTCGAGGTCGCGAGGGCGCTTGGCGCCGAGCGGCAGCATGTCGCGCCCGCGGCAACGCAAAAAGAAATCGAGAAATCGGGGGGGCGTGTGGTGCCTGTTCATGTGCCGGTGTGTGTGCCGACTCCCCCGTCTGGTCCCGGGGAGAGCCAGCTGAGGCGCCGTGTGTCCGTCCATTGTGGATTACGCGCTTACGCTTAGGAGCCAGTTAGGAAGGAGTTAGGAGCCCTGTGCGCATAGTTGTTTAGAGGTCTTGTATCTTTTGACGGTTGGCAACATCGACTTGCCTTTTTCTTTTCCACGTGCGAGGGAGCTTTGTTGTAAAATTCTTTTCCACGAAGCCCGATGACTTTCTTTTCGTGGGGACGACACGCTGCGGAATCGGATCGAGCCCATGCACGGGCAAAGAAGGACGCTGCAGATCTGCAGAAGCGGTTGGAGAGGCAGCTGGCGTCTGCCGTCACAACGAGTCCCAGCGCTGGGGTGAAAGGTGAAATTCTGAAAAACGTGCAGCACTTCTAGCCGACATCGACAAAAGTCACTCTCTAGCCCCGCGGCGAGCAGCCCCGCCGGAGGCGAAGAAAATTTTGCCATCTAGCGCTCTCTAACACACATTTTTGCACAAATCGACGCCTCCAAACAGGCTCAATAAGACTGGTCTTCACTGCAGCACGCCTCGAGCGAGTAATGCGTCTATAGGCCAATATAAAAGAGCTTCTCGCGCGCGCTCCTCAGCTGGCGGTCCGCAGGGCCGCCCGGGCCGGGCGAGAAGCGCAAGCCCGCCAGCCGCACCATGTGATTCACGATGATGAGCGTCTCGGCCTCGAGCAGCGTGTAGGAGCGAAGCTTGCCCTCGCACTCGCGTTGCTCGAGCCTGAGCCAATGCGCCTTGACCACGAGATAGCCCGCGGGGATGGTGTCAGTGTTGACGACCGTGTCCTCGGCCAGCGTGTACGCCTTCCCCTTGAGCACCGCCAGCCAGTAGAGCCCCTCGAGCGACTGCTCGCGCCGATCTGCGCGGCGACAGCGGCCTGGACACGTCCGGCCAAGTCGGTTACGGGGAGGGCTACTACGAGGTCTTTGCGCGGGGGTGGTCGGGCGCCAGGCGCCCAGTCGATTGCCGCATAGTTCGTCGTAGTAGCCCTATCATAAACCTCGTATTCACACCTTGCACTTTGAAAAAAGAAATATCCGACCTTTGTCGAAGATCCAGAGGGTTTATCAGAGCATCACCCGCTGGTTGGACATGCGCGTCGGCTCGCCCGAGGACTGCTGTCGCGACCCTCCCGTCGTGACGCAGCCTCCGACGAGCTCTGCAACCGAGGAGAGTGAGGGTGCGCCTCCCCTCACTGCTGGCCTGGCTGCGCACCGCCCCACTAAGCACCCCCTCGAGCATCTCTACAAGTACAAGTACAAGGGCGACCTTCTCCAAGTCGTCAACGCGCCCGCCGGCTCCGGCAAGACTTTAGCCTTGGCCACCCTCCTTGCGGAGCAGGAGGAGATCCGCTCTCGGTCGGCAACGTGGCAGCTAGTCGAGAGACTCGGTAGTTGTGACCCCCCTCTGTGCTCTGAGTGAGGACAGGAGAGAGAGAGCTTTTGTGGTGTTGGTGTACGCAATAACGGGACAGGGTAGTCGTTCTCTCTAGCTCCCCTTCTAGCTCTTAGCATGAGCTGCGCCCTGTGTCCGACCCCTTTTGCGCAGCAACACCTTAAACTTTTAGGCCGAGTCTCCAAATTCGGGTCGGAGCGTACGTAGCGGAGTGGGCCCCGAGTTTGAAAAGGGCGACGGACGCTTGCGTCCTAGCCTCCAACAACGCCTCCCCGGCGCAGAGGGGCCCCCGGAGGGATGCTCAACCGCTCCACGCCACGCCGCTTGCGGCGGTCCTATTCCCAGCTCCGCTGAGTCCAGCCGGGTTATTTTTTCGCTCGGGGCCCACTTGCTTCGCGACCTCACGCAGGTGGGGCCTCCACCTCGACCACTGCGCACTCTACACTGCGCGCACTCTCCGGCTGGGCCAAAGGAGGATAGGGTTATCCGGCCATTCCGGAACAGGTGACTGCAAACAAAGAGCATCTACACGGCGATAGTACGTACATGCTGCGCTCGCGGCAGCTTCTTCGCTCCGCGTTTCGCGCTGCTGGCGCCGCCCTGGGCGGCACGGCTGGCGTGGTTGCGTGCCAGGTCGCGTACGTGCGCTTGAGCTTCCAGCTCCCGCCGGACGCCACTGGCCCAACTTCGGGCACTGCCTCGGCCGCGGCCCTGCGCAGCAGCGGCACCCGGCGCAACATCATCTTTCTCGGCGATTCGCTCGTCACCGGCGTGGGCTGCGACGCAGAGGCGGGCGAAGGCCCGACGCTGCCCCGCCGTGTGGCCGAGCTGCTCTCTGGCCGGCTTGGCGTCGACGTGGGCTGGCTCGCCCTCGGCGAGACAGGGGCGGACGTGGGCACCCTCACCGAGCGGCTCATGCCGCAAGTGCAGTCCGAGGCGTGCTGCCCGCTCCCACCTGGTCCGCCCGCCACTTGCTGCGCCCCCGACGCCGGGCTCCTCGGCCGCAGGTTGCGCGCTGCGGCGCGCAGGGCGAGCGGGTGGACGCGGTGGTGATTGTGTGCGGGCTCAACGACATGAAGTCCTGCTTCCTGCACTTCCAGCCGCAGCTCAACCCGCACGCCTTCGCGGGCCGGCTGCGAGGCGTGGTCGAGGCGGTGCGCACCTCGGTGGGGGACGAGTGTGCCGTGCTGCTGCCCGGCGTGAGCGTCGAAGGCGTGCCTAGCTGCCCGCTTGCTCCACGCCAGCGGTGGCGAGAGCCGTGCAGACCCTCGCCTCGCTTCGCTGCAGGAGTGCCGCGCTTCGAGCCCTTCTGGCCGCTCTCCACCTGCATCGCGCGCGCCGCGGGGATGTGGGAGGAGCAGAAGCGCACCGTGGCGCACGAGATGTCTGTCGCCGGTCAGCGGGTCGCGTTCTCCGCGCAGGCAGGCCGCCTATTGCCGACGCGCGACATCTTCTGCCGGGACGGCATGCACCCAAACGATCGCGGCTACGCCATCTGGGCCGAGCTCGTTGCCGAGGACCTGCTCTCTGCCATGGCCCTCCCGCCTAAGGATTCGGGCGAGGCGCCGCCGTGACGACAGGTGAATCTGTGTACTGAGAAGAGCGCGGAAAAAACAACGTCATGAATGTAACCTTAACAGAGAGAGTGATATACTGTATTGAATTCGCCGCGCGCCGCGCGCCGCGCGCCGGCACGTGATTATTAACAATTATGTGATGAATGTGGTGTCACACAGGTCACACATACTATTACTATAGCCGTAATATACCTCTCAACGGAGAGAATCGAGGTCGTCGAGCGCGCAGAGGACTGAGAGAGATAGGGGGAGAGAGAGCGGGGGGGAAATGCACATGGAAGAGGAAATGGCTTTCATGAGGGACTGGAGATCAAGCGCACAAACAGACCGTTAGAGAGCCGGCGACGCGTGTTCGCCAGCTCTGGGGGTGGCGCAACGCCAACGGGGTAATGGGGTGCCCCGCGGCGGGGCTGCGGCGTCGCGCGCCGCGCGGCGCTAAATCTCGTGCACCCGACGTTGCTGCTCCGCAGACACCGCCGGGTCCGACACTCTGCTGTACTCCGAGCCCGGGTCCGAGGAGGCACTCATGCTGCGCGGACGCAGCGGCGGTTTGGAGGGGTCGCTCGGGGTTTGGCGCAGCTCGGACAGCGCGTCCGCGCGCATGCTCTTCCACGCCGGCGGTGTGTTGTCGGACAAGGTTGACGTTGGCGCGAGCCGAGACACGGTGCGAGAGACGGTGGTCTCTATTAACGTTGGCGAGTAGTGCGTAGTCGGAGTCCGCTGGATCCTCAGATGAAGCCGGATCCATGCGTGAAGCCGAGTCCACACGCCCCTGTGTGGCGGGGAGGAGGCGGCGGGGCTGCTGGGCAAGCTGCTCAGGCTGGAGGAGGCGGCGGGGCTGCTGGGCAAGCTGCTCAGGCTGGAGCCGAACATGCCCAGCGCTGCCTCGCGCCGCCGTCGCTCAGCGAGCTCGAGGGCGCCGCCGTCCTCGTCATCGCGGAAGGCTGCGAAGGCTGCGAAAGTTGAGAAGAGCGGCAGTGACTGCCTCCCGCGGGAGGCGCAGCAGACCAGCGCGACGACGAGGACGGCACCGACGAGTGCGCCGACGCCGGCGCTGACTCCGACCTGTTTCGCGTCTCTCTCGTTGAGACTATGCCACGGAGGGTACGGAGGCAAGGGCGGCGGCGGGGGTGGAGGAGAGGGCGGCGGAGAGGGCGGCGGAGAGGGCGGCGGCGAAGAGGGCGGCGGCGAGGGAGGCGACGGTGGCGGCGATGGCGGCGGCTGTGAGGGCGGAGGCGACGGTGGCGGCGATGGCGGCGGCGGTGAGGGCGGCGGCGAGGGCGGCAGCGAGGGCGGTGGTGACGGCGGAGGCGGCGAGGGTGAAGGCGGCGGCGGTAGTGGAGGCGAGGGTGGGGGCGGCGACGGTGGAGGAGGCAAGGGCGGCGGCGATGGTGGACGTGGGGGAGGTGTTGGTGGCGGCGGCGGCGGAGGACTGGGCGGTGGCGGCCGAGGAGGAGTGCTAGGAGGCAAGGGTGGTCGCAGCGGCGGCGGCGGCGTGATTGGCGGTTGCGGAGGACTAGGCGGGTACGGAGGAAGCGGTGGAGCGGGCGGCGGAGGGAACGGCAGCACGAACAATCCGCTGGTGACGGTGAACCACGCGGCGAGCATAGGAGTCCCAAAGACTGCCCGCCCTTTCAAAGGGCGACGGCGTCCATTCGCATGAAGAAAAATCCGCCCGGAAGGTGTGCGGCGCTTGGGTTGTCTGTTTTATTTCTTTTTTTTGCGGCGCGCTCCCTTGTATGTTTTCTTTCTTTCTTCTGCGGCGCGCTCGGCCTGAGAGAGCAGTTCGACGCGGCGGTTGCGGCGGGCGAGCTGCTCGAGCTGCTCGAGAGCTTGCCGCGAGGGGCGGTCGAGGCCCCTCCGTCCGGCTTCTGAGGGGATATACACTCGCACGGGCAAGTGGCCCGAGCCCATTCTCACTAGCCCTGACCCGCAGCGCGGCCGCTCGCGTAGAAGCCCCTCAGATGAGTGGTCAGATGAATAGTGCCCGAGAGCGAGGGATCCGGGGGGGCACCAATAGGAGGCCCAGCCTGCGTATCCTATCTATGCGAGAGAGTCCCCTGTGCCCGGTGCCGCTGTGCCCAGCCCTCTCCGCGCCGCGATGCCCCCCCCCCCCCCCCTCGCTTTTTCAAAATCCTGCAAAGGTGGGGACGTGTCTGTCCTCGTCCCAGCCCTAGAGTTAATCGTTTCTCTCCGATGCCGATAGATCTAGTTTACGTATCTTCCATCCACTCGAACGCACCCACGGTCTCCTTCCTCCGGGACCCGGGGATCCCGCCCACCACCCCGTTGACCGCGGCGCGGTGGCAGAATGCCTTGGCGCGGCGCTCCGCCTTCTGCCTCTCCGCCGCCCGCTCGGCGCGTGCGGCGGCGCGCGCGCCTGCGCCATGTGTGGGCCTCTGCAGAGCCCTGCTCTCTACTAGTACTACCTCACCACGAGTCGTCCGTGCACCCCAGGACTTACCTCAGGCGCTCAGGCCTCAGGGGCGCCCGCGCTCGGCCGGTTGGAGCACACTATCAAATTATTAGCCTAATAACGTACCTAATTATCAACACATAGTTAATAGCGCGAGTAGCTAATAACAAGCTAATTATTAGGCTAATAACAGCGCTTATTAGGCTAATAACAGCGATTATTAGGTGCTTATTAGGCTAATAACGCGTTATTAGTGATCAATCTCCTAATAACAAGCTAATTATTAGGTATATGTGATCTGTGATCTGTGAGGGTCCGCCCGCAGGCGCATTTTGTATACCGAGGCGGTGCCCGGTGCCGAGCGCAGGCAGAGCCCACAGGTCGGACCTTAAGACAGCGTTGTAGATCCCTGGGCGAGGGTGGTGGAGTATATGTTGATAATTAGGTACGTTATTAGGCTAATAGTTTGATAGTGCAGCCCCCCGCGCGCGGTCGCCGCAAGGCCGCTCGATTTGGCCGCCTTCCGCCCCCCCATCCATACCACATACACGTCCATTAGCTCAATCGTCAATGTGCATTGACCATTGTGTGCACTTGTGACATGTGACTTGTGAGCATTTTCTAAAGGCCGCTGCGCGGCCAGCGCAATGCGCAACCAGTCAGCGACCGACAGTCAGCAGCAGACTGTGACGATTGGCGGCCTCGCGCCCTCAGTCGACCTCCTCTACCAACTCCCCTGCCCAGCCCATATGCCTCATCCACGGTGGCGCAACCACCCGCGCAGGGAGAGAGAGAAAGTCGGCGATCTGCGCCGTGCAGATGAGCTCCGCCTCGTCTGCGTCGAGGACGCCCATCGCAGGGCTGTCATAGCGCCATTGCATATGACGTACTGCATGTTGTTCATTACTTCGCAGGTGCCAAAGTCGAGGATAAACTCACTCAGCGATGGCGAAGGCTGCACTCCCGGCCGGCGGTAGGAGAGATGAAGGCTAATGTACTTCGCAGTGTACGGTGCCTTCCGGCGCGAACAGTGCCCGGGACGAAAGAGGAGGCGACGTCTCCCTCGTCCATGGACGGTGTAGCCAGCTTGAGAGACGGGAACGAACGGCGGTGAATCGCCGACAGCGGCGCCTTCGTTCCTTTCCAGTGAATCGCCGGCGGGTGCCCTGAGCGTTGTATCTGTCGGCCAGTTGCCGCACCGCCGGCAGCAGCTCCGCAGCAGCCGCCCAGATGGCGCCGGTTAGGACAGGAGCGAAGCCGCGTGGACACGGCTGAGCGACGCCGTGCGTCTCGTTTGGATGCTGCAGGCATGCCGGGCAGCGCGCGTGCTCCATACCGCGCGTCGGGCGCCCGCCGAAATCTTCGATTTCTTTGGCGTAGGAGACCAAAAACCCTGAAAATTTTCTTCGCCTGCGGCGGGCAATTAATTTCGCTACTTTCGCTTTCACAGCTCTTTCACACGACTTTATCCGTCACTCGCTCGAGATAGCCAGCCCGTATCCCCCTCTCCTCCTCCACCGAGACACAGCGAGAGTCACCCATGAACAGCGAAGGAGATGATGGGCAGGATTCTGTCCCAAATGCTCCAGGGTAAGCGAAAGGGCTGGTGTGCTCATGTGCCCCCATGGCCTGCCATGGCGATGTGCTAGCGTCCAAGCTTGTTCGCATGTACTGTGAAATAGCTAGCCCATAAAAGAAGAAAAAAGAGATTCGCAACCTCCCCTGGGAAACGAAAACAGGCATAGTGTGTGTAGCACCGCGCTGCCAACGAAAACTTGGGGCGTCACACAGACAGCGAGATGGAACTCACCAGTCCGATAAGGATCAACTGGAAGGCTGAACCCTGGGCTTAGACAGGACGGGCGAGAAAATTTCCAAGGGAGACTCCCCGCTCTACCCAGGGCGCCAAGGAGGAAAATCGAAACTGTGGGCGTCCTCGATGGGCGTCTCGATGGGCGTCCATCGCTAACTACCCAACCGAGAATAGCACACACGCATCCCCCCCCCCCCCCCCCGAGTGCCGACCTATGACACGTAGTGCACGGTAATCTCGGAGAGAGAAGGGGAGGGGCGAAGGGGGGGGATATGGGAGATCTCTAACCGCGGGAGTACCCTGGGAGTGCGAGAGATCAGGGGAAGCCAGACATGGTACATGGAGAACGGACACCAAGGCACTAAAACTTCATCACCCATTCGCTTAGGGTACCCCTAGGCTTAAAAGGGTGGGCCCTGGGGCGCCTGCGGCTTAAACGGCTTAAAACCGGCCTAGGCCGGTTTTAAGAGCTGCTGGGCCGCCGATTCCTTAAACGGTCTTAAACGCTTAAACGGTGCGGGAGAGCTCCCGAGGTCGATGGTCCGGGAGGCTCCCCGGTAGACGCCGGAGGCCGGGAAGCTGGCTACAGTCAGCTGGCACGCGTCCCCTATGCGAGTATGGCTCCCGCCAGTGCACCAGACTTACAGATGTGTCTTCAGTGGCGGGTTCGTGCCTAATAACGGCAGAATTGGAGAAACCGGCGCGGAACCCAGCGACGCGTGCCGGTGAGGCCGATTTTCTTAAACGGACTTAAAAGAGGGACCCCCCGTGCCTGCAATCTCTTAAATGGCAAGTTAAGCCCCCAAACCTCCTCGTTTCTTAAAAGGTCTTAAAAAAATCCGGCCCTCAGAACCCTAGGGGTACCCTAAGCCCATTCGCCCCGCGCATTCGGCAAGCCCTGGCGCAGTCGGTCTTCGGATCAGCGGCCAGCTTCCCCCACATCTAGGGGGCTAGGGCAGGGAACCGCCGGCGACGCAAGTGTGGCCTACGGTAGCCACAGCTAGTGCGCGATACAGGGGCTGGGGGATGAGTGAGGGGGGGCCCGCGCCACAAGGCTCAAGGGCGGGCTAGGCCTAGGGGGAGAGAATGGAGGCTTGGAGGGGGGAGAGAGTTGCGTGCCCCGTGCCCGTTTTTCTTCTCTACGAAGCAATTTTTTTTAGCTACGGCTCAGTTACATTGTAGTGTGCATACGTATTTCCCTGTTTTCTTGGGCGGTACACCGATATATACACGTATAGGTACGCCACGACCGTCACGCCCGAAAGCTACCGCACGTCCGCAGGCGCTGCGCCATCGGCTCCACGCCTCGATCCACGTCGTCGCACGCCTGCAGCCAGTGCTCGAGCCAGAGGCCGGCGCGGCGCGTCTCGGCCCAGCGCGAGCCGAGCGACTTGGCCTCGTCCACGAGAGACCTCGCCCGCGCCTCCGCCTCCGCCCCGGCGCCGCCCGCCCGCAGCAGCGCCTCGGCGCCGTCCGAGAGGAGGCCGGGCAAGCCGGAGAGGGCCTCGGCGCCCTGCTCGGCGCGCGCGCGGAAGGCAACCTCGAGGAAGCAGGAGCGGAGCGACTCGAGCACGGCGTCGTAGTACTCCTCGAGCGCCGCGCTGCCGGGCGGCGCGGCCGGCGAGCTCGCCACCTCTCCGCAACTCCTCCGCCTCCTCTTGAGGAAGCAACCCTCCGACCGATCCAGGGACAGGGCCGCATCGGACGGGCCCGCCTCGGAGCCTCCGCCTCCGCCGCCGCAGCAGCCGCCACTGCCCACACCACCGCCGCCGCCACCGCCGCCACCGCCGCCGCCCCTGCCCACACCGCGGCCGCCTCCTCCTTCTCCTCCACCGCCCCTCCCGGCCCTCGGGAGCGGTGCGGCGCGGTCGCCCCACGGCGTGGAGAGGGAGGCGGCCGAGCCAGCCCCTTGCTCGAGCCTGGTGGCCTAAAGAAGGGGGGGGAGGCGTGTGCGGGCGTGAGGAGGCGGCGGGCGGCGCGGAGCGGGTGCGGGCAGGCGGGTGCGGGCGTGCGTGCGTGCGTGCGCGTGCTTGCGCGTGTGTGCTGGCGCGTGCGTGCTTGTGCGTGCGCGCTTGTGCGTGCGTGCTTGTGCGTGCGTGCTTGTGCGTGTGCGCCTGCAGCCCGACGCCGCGCAGCGCCTCATGCGGGATGGCGAGGCCCTGCAGCAGCTTGAGGCCGATGACGGCGAGGTCGGCCTCGGAGGCGGTGGGCCGCTCGAGCGCCACGCTGCGCGAGAGGTTGTCGCACGCGCCGTGCCCCATTCCTCCCTTCGCGGTGGCGGAGGTCCAGCCCTCCTTCGCCCTCCAAACCTAGGGTTAGGGTTAGGGTTAGGGTTAGGGTTAGGGTTAGGGTTAGGGTCAGGGTTAGGACGTCCTCCCCCTCCTTCGCCCTCCAAACCTTGAGGCCGACGCCGCGGCAGCGCATCCCCGCCTGGCCGAGCCGCCTCGCCACCTCCTCGGCGAGCTGGCGGACGAAGGCGTGCGCGCAGCCGCACCCCTCCTCGCACGCCGAGACCGGGCACGAGCGGGCGCGAAACCGCACGCCCCAGCTCGACTGCGCGCCGATCGACGAGCGGACCTTGGCTGGCTCCTCCCAAGCGCGCCCGTCCCTCGCGGCGGCAAACGCGCGGAGCTTGTCGCCGTTGACGGCCCCGACGGCGGCGCGGACGGCGCCGGCGGGCGCCGCCGCGAGCTCGCCGCACGTCGCGATGCCCGCCGCGGACAGCGCCGCCGCGTTCGAGCGCCCGATCCCAGGCAGAGCCGTCACCGGCTGCGGCGCGAGCAGGCGGCGCGCCCCCTCCTCGCTGAGCGCGCTCTGCCCGTCCGGCTTGCAGGCGGAGGTGGCGATCCGGGCGACGAGCCGGCTCGGGCCGATGCCGATCGAGGCGTTGCACCGCGTCGCCGCCCGGATCTGCGCGCGCAGCTCCGTCGCCAGGGCGAGCGGATCTCCGCAGCCAGTCACGTCGGCGTAGCACTCGTCGCAAGAGACGCCAATCACGTGCGGCGTCAGCGCAAAGACGCGGCGGTACATGGCCTCGGCCGCCGCCGCGTACTCGTCGAACTGGTACGGCACCACCACCAGCTCGGACGGCCCGCCCGCCCCGTCGGAGCAGAGCGGCAGCGCGTCCTTCAGCCACATTCCGTTCCGGACGCCTCGCGCGCGCGCCTCGTAGCTGCAGCTCGCGATTTCACCGTGTCCGCTCTCGACGGAGGGGTTGCCCCAGCTCACCGCCAGCGGCAGGCCGGCAAAGGCGGGGAAGTGCGCCACAGCGACTGAGGCGAAGAAGCAGTCCATGTCGATGTGCATCACGGCGCGCTGCTCGCCTGGCCTCGGCGTCGGCAGCGGGGGCGCCGGCGGCATCCCGGCGCAGATCGCCTTGAACCGCTCCTTCCACGACCCGATGAAGTGGAGGCGAGACGCTCCGAAGAAGTCGCGGGCGTAGGTCGAGCTCTCGCCAGAGGTGCGGTGCCGGGTCTGCAGGTTTGGCGCCGCCGCACGCTGCGCGGCCGCCGCACGCTGCGCGGCCGCCAGCCGCTCTGAGCGGCTGGCTGCCGACTCGTCGCGTTCCGCCATGGCGGAGGGCAAGCAGGGGAAAAGTGTAAATCCCGCGCGCTAACTGTTTTCTTTCTTTTGTTTAAATTCTTTCTTTCGAGAGGCTTGTATTTTAAGAATTCTTTCTTTCTTTCGCTAAAAGCAGCACCAGCCCGGCGGCTCCTGCCGCCGCGGCGTGCTATTGTGTCGGATGCCGTGCATCGCGTCAAAGGCGTCCCGCGAGCGCACCGCCCCGGCGCCAAACTGGTCCTTGCGGTGGAGCAGCCACGCCTCGGCCACCTGAGACGGCTGCGCCGCCTCGGGCCAGCCGAGCAGGTGCTGGATGCGCTGCACGGTCAGGTTGACCAGCGCGTTGTGGATGCCGCCGGTGGCAAAGGCGCGGTCGACATTCTCCCAAAACTTGTGCGTGTTCTCGCGGCGGTAGGCGTGGCGCAGCACGTCCAGGTTGGGCGAGTAGATGTCGAAGCCTGCCGTCCAGAGCCGGAAGGTGTGCGCCAGCTCCTCGCCCATGAAGATCCAGGGCAGGTACGGGTCGTAGGGCGCGAGCCGCAGGAAGGAGGCGTGGGAGAAGAGGAAGCCGGCCGCGACAAAGGCGGTCCGTCGGGGCGAGGCGGCGCCCGCTCCATCGGGCGACGGCTTGGCGCGCCCGGCGGCGGCGGCGTGGCAGCCGCCGAGCCGTGCGCTCAGCCGTCCGGCGGGGAGGACGTTCTCGTACGAATAGGAGCAGAGCCCGCCCGCCGGCCGCTCGACCCTCTCCTCGGCGTCGGTGGGCCTGGGCCAGGCTGCCGCGGAGGCGGGCGACCCCTCCGGAGGGTAGTTCGACAGCACCGACCGCGGGAAGGAGGGCGTGCGGCGCGCCATCTGCACGAGCGCCGAGTCCCAGCCCGCCCGAAAGTCGGTGTGCCCGTCGATCTGGAGGAAGAAGGTCTCGCCCCGCCAGAGGTGCGAGGCGAGGAAGCGCGAGTAGATCGGCCCGAGCGCCTCCTCCTCCCCCAGCCGCAGGATGCGCACCCGCCCGCTCGCGCAGTGCGGCTCGCCCTCGGGCGACGCGCAAAAGGCAGACACGCAGTCCTCGTCGGCGCCGAGCTGCGGCGGGTAGCGGCGCGTCGCGCCGAAGCCGCCGGTGACGTTGAGGCAGGCCCGCTCGCAGTTGTGCTGCACGATGCCAAAGCTCAGGCGCTCCGGCCGAGCCGCACGAGCAAACGCGCGCCGCACAGTCGCGCCGCAGAGCGGGTCCCGGTGCGCGCCGATCGAGACAAAGATCGTCCCGTCCTCCCTGGGCGGCCTGCGCGGGCGAGTCAGCGCCGGCGTCTCCGCGAGCGCGGCGTCGACCACGGCCGTGTACGCGCGAGAGACTGCGAGCGCGGCCTCGTTTGGCTGCGAGGGCGGCTGCGTCCACGGCCCTCGCAGGCCGCCGTAGCACTGCTCGTCGTTGGTCGTGCGCACCCAGGAAACCTCGCCGGCGGGCGAAGGGAGCGGCACGCGCCGGGCGCGAGGCTCAAACCACCCGCCCTCGCGCGACGCGGTGACTCCACCGCAGTCGGACCACTGAGAGCACACTGCCTTTGCAGCCTCGAGGCTCGGCCAGGCGACGCAGCCGGCGGCGGGACAGCCGGGGAGGAAACCGTCCGTCCGGCTGCCGTAGGTGTGGTTGCAGCGCGCGAAGGCCAGCTGCCGCTGGCGCCGCTCTTGGAAGCGGCGCAGCGCCAGGCGCACCCGCTCCGCAAAGGCGGCCACGTCCGGCTCGCCGTCCGCCACGAGAGAGCGGCCGGCCGCCCCGCCGGGCGCGTCGACCTGGCGAGGTGCCGAGCGGCCGTGGAAGACAAAGTTGGCCACGAAGAGGAGGAGCGCGGCGGCGGTCAGGAGCCTGAACTTTGGCATTGTGGTTGTTGGATGGAGTAGGCGCGGAGCGATAATGGCGCGAACAAGTCGAACTAGCCCGGAGAGTGAAGGTTGGAGGAGGAAACCTCGTTCAAAAAGAAAAACGGCGAAGCGACGCGCTGGCTCCAGGCAATCCAGGGGCAAGCTGTGCAACCAGCGCTGATGGCTGAGAGCGAGGACACGCGGCGCGACGAGAAGCCGGCGGGACGCGACCGCTCGCGCTCGCCCGTGCGCGACGACCAGCTGAGCTGGTCGCAGTCGCGGCCCACCGACATTCCGTACACGGCAGAGGCGGCGGCGGCCCCCGGCTTCGACATGGCGGCGCCCGCGGCGGGGTCGGTGGACCCCGCCATCGCGAGCGCGATCGAGAACGCCAAGGCGATGCTCGCGGCGCGCACGATGGGCGCCGGCCCGCTCGGCCAGCTGCCCGGCGGCAGCATCGCCCCGCCGCTCGCAGCGCCCATGCAGCCAGCTGCTCGCGGCCCGCCTCCGGGAGAGCCGCCGCCGCCGGCGGGCAAGATGATGGGGACGGCCAAGCGCTTCGACATGGAGCGCGGGTTCGGCTTCATCGTCCCCGACGACGGGGGCGAGGACATCTTTGCCCACGGCAACGCGCTGACCGACGGCAATGCGCTGCGCGAGGGTGCGCGTGTGTGCTTCCGCAAGTCGTACGACCCGGTCAAAAACAAGGCGGCGGCGGAGGAGGTGACGGGCGCGTACATCGATCCGATGCGCGCGCCGCCCCGCGGCATGGGTCCCGTCCCGCCGGGCATGGGAGGCGCCCCTCGCGGGCCGCCTCTGGGCGAGCCGGCGCCTCCGCCGGGAAAGATGATGGGGACGGCCAAGCGGTTCAACATGGAGAAGGGGTTCGGGTTCATCATCCCGGACGGCGGCGGCGACGACATCTTCGTGCACGCCATGAACATCACCGACGGCAACGCCCTCCGCGAGGGCGCGCGCATCTGCTTCAAGACGGGAGTCGACGAGCGCAAGAACAAGGCCCGCGCCGAGGAGGCGCGCGCCGGGCAGAGAGGGGGACGCGCGGGGAGATGGGGGGGGGGGGGGGGGGTCCGAAGAAGGGGGGGGAAACATTTCCGCGAAAGAGCCAGGTTCTCGATCTTTTCATACCCCAAGAGGAAATTCGCGATGAGCCAT